TCAGTCTTACATCGGGGAAACTAAACAGCCACTGGCCAAAAGGATGGACCAGCACAGAAGATCAACATCATCAGGCCAGGACTCTGCGGTCTACACTCATCTCCAGGCCAGCGGTCACTCTTTCAGGGATGAAGATGTGCACATCCTGGACAGAGAGGAACGATGGTTTGAGAGAGGAGTAAAGGAGGCCATCTTTGTGAAAAGAAACCGTCCATCATTAAACAGGGGTGGAGGCCTCCGGGTTCAACTGTCCCCCTCTTACAATGCTGTGATTGCTAGTATCACTCAGCCTCCTGTGAATAACAAGCGGCTATCAGGGCGCCAACAATCAGTTGTTAGGCTGATGGGCCTCCTTACATGTGAACAGCTAGTTCTGGTTGTCAGCAGCAAACTGGTTGATCCACTATGAGAAGGTGTTATTTATAAGACTGAGTTTGTTGCAGCTCCTAAGACTGAAGAAGTCTTTTGGACAAAAAACGAAACGTTTCAACAAGAAGAATCCGTCCAGAGGGCCTGACTCAATTGTTAGATTCATCTACCCGGATTATTGAGCAGCATCAGGACTAACTGACCACCATTTCCTTTGAGCTGAGACTTTTCTCTTCAAAGTTTGAAGTGAAGTGACTTTTTGTCTCCTAGATAAAACACGACGTGTAAATCTATCAGCCTTTTACCGCTTTAGGCTCAAGATATTTTTCTGATACATCTTAAAGTTTTAGCACAAACACTGTTTGTCTGAGGGTTACTTTCTAGTAAGCATTTCTGTCTGCCTTTTCTTTGTAATGCTCATACGTAGGTCACATGTAAACTAGAACAAGTCGATGGAGGCTTTGTAATCCAACAGAAAAAATAAAAATAAACTGAGCCGTGACTGAACATAATAAATTCCAGATCTTTGATCTGACAGAAGCCGACTGGATCTGAAGTCCACAGCAGGTGATCCGTACCTGTCCGAGATGAGCAGTCCTGACGTCGCCAAGCGTTTGGCCAAAGTGACAGCGCCATTGTAGCAGCGATCCAACTCCTCCATGATGAAGCTGACGTCCGACTGCAGGAGCGGCGCCGCTACAAACCTCCAGATCAGTGCGGGGGCGTACATCAGGACCGCCACCAGCAGCAGGACGTAAGGAAAGAACTGAGGACGAAGAGATCAAAATATAAAGATCGACGGGAAGAATTATAATCTGAGTCCATCAGGGAACAAGTGTTGGTTCTTCATCTGAAAGACTTTTATTTCTGAACTGGAATTGATTTTTACGTAGAAAACTGACACAAAAAGACCACGAACAACCTTTGATTAAGTAAAAAGGTGCAAAAATGCTTTTGAGCAACTTGTCTGAATAGTTTTGCATCAATTGGTAATCATGATTCTAACTTTTAACATTTAGAAGCAACTCGGCGTTTGTGTTGGGAAAACAGCAAGCAGAAAATAAGAAATACATATATTTAAATACAAAAAGAAAGAAACATTCGTTGAAAGAACACGTTCTGCCTTCAGCCATCAAATCCTAAGTTCAAAGGTCTGTTCAGAGAATGTGATGGGATGACTCTCAGCTACTACCACACCAAATTTGAGCTTAATGCCTGCAAAACTGGCTGACTTGTAGACATTTTTGTGTTTTGTAAATTAGGCGGACTGTGGCGGCCATCTTGAATGAATCAGCTGTAGATGTTCTTCAAAGGATTGTTCTAAAATTTTCAATTAAATCTGTCCAGTGGTTCATGCAATATTTTGCTGACAGACAAACAAGCACACACACTGGCAATTACATGATTGCCCACAGCAGTGAAAGGCAGGTGATAAACCCATTAACATCTGTTAGACGAAACTAGAGTTGTTCTCTCAGTGAACTTTGAAGAGATATAAAATTAGTTTTGACAAATAAATAAAATAATAATAATAATTCATATTAATAAGCAAACTCTCTGAACCAGGTGTCCCAAACAACAGGACATGGACCAGTACTGGCCCATGAATCATTTGGTGCAAGGCCGCACAGAAATTACATTTTTATATAAACTGGTCTGCAGGGTATTTTATTTTGAAAAGCAGTCGAGCATCAAAGCAACAAATGAAAACACTGTAGTGGTTTAAAGCTCAAGCTCGATCTTAATCTCTTCAAGATTTACGTTTAAATAAAAATATTACAAAAACAAACTGTTAAAAGTTTAACTTAAAATAGTTTGTTGTTTTGATAAAAACTTTTAATGTGGAGTCATAAATACAGTGAAAGAACAAACAAGCGGTGCACCGATGTCCCCGTCACTGAGGGATCTGAGCAGTGAATTTTTTCTAGTTGTCAAGATCAATGTTTTCAATCTGGAACTGAACAGGGAATGAAAGTAAACCTTAATGTTTTGATGCAAGATCTTCATGAAGGTAGGAGTTACACTGTGGAGAAGAACAGAGGTAGTTTTTGTTTCTTTGTCCGAGGCGGCGCAGAGTGACGGATCCTGCCGAGCGGAAGGAGCATTTATCCACCACCAGGTGCAGTGGTGGAGCCAAGGGGTGGCCAGTGGTGGCTTTGGCCACCCCAGTCATTTGAAGAAACTATACTTTTAAAAACTAGAAAGCATAGTTCCCTCAAATAACAGGGGTGGTTGGTTTATATTTATATATGGCGGTGGCCATCTTGGATTTTGATTAATAGAGAACTTCTTACACCTACACACCAAAGTGGAAGTCGGTACCTTTGCTTATTTTTCAAGTTATCATGCTCACAAGATGAACTGGACGGGGTAAGTCCCCCCCTTTGCTTCACGACGGGGAACAACAAAAAAGTAAACGGTGTAAAAATGTGGACGGACATGGAGGATTAGAAAACTTTTTTACACCACACCTTCAAATTCACACGACAAAAGCTGCTCGAGCACGACACACAGATAACCCAACTTTTCACTCTTTAACATATTATGGGGTTACAACGCCTGCTCTGTAAAAATCAGAGATTGAGATTACCTTCATGCCTTGACTCCTTTCTACACGAATCATCAGAGATTAACTGAACCGTGGCAGAACAAAGGTTTAGTTCCAACAGACGAGATGGACAAGTTTTAATGATCAAATTTTAATTATACACTCCAGAAACTTAATCTTTCTGCTATGTGTGTGTGTGTGTGTGTGCGTACCTTATGTAGCCACAGAGGGAGGGTGTGTGTGTGAACAGCCGCCCAGCAGTATGAATCCACATAAGCAGCCTGCCGCCACGAGAAGTTAGAGGGAGAAAAGCAGCTGATCTGAGTCCCTGAGACAAACAGAAACAGAAACAGGAAATAAAATAAATAAAGCCGCAACATTCCCTGAAGGAATGCATTTCGCCCGCTGCCCATCATGCCAGAGTTTTTAACTGAGGTCATCTCATGTTGAGAAAAGATGGAGTTGGAGCCGTTTTGGTCAAACCTTGTGAGATGTCACACTCCATGTGTTGAGGAGGACTCTCAGCTACTACCACACCAGATTCCAGCTGAATGTAAAACTGGCTGAGTTAAAGCTGTTTGTTTGTTGGCTAAGGTCAAATAGCTGTAACAGCCATCTTGAATCAGGCTGACTAAAAGTTTATCAGTTGTAGATGTAAATATACTATTATTACTTTCTGGGAGTTATATTAAAAATCTGTTAAGTAGTGTACAAGATATTTTGTTAACAGACAAACAGGGTTGACCAGCACAACAGTACTGCTCAGAGTATGTATTGGAGAGGATGCTCAGCTACTACCACGCCAACTTTTTGCTCATTAACTGTATAAGTGGCTCAGTTACAGCCTCCTTTTAGGTTTTCCACGTTCTGTTGGCTGTGGCAGCCATCTTGAATCAGGTTGACTCAAAAGGTTAATCGGTTGTAGATGAAAACCCAACAACTACGGTCTGAAGGTTTTATTAAAATGCAAGCATTCATGACATAATGCTAGTTAAGTTTTACAACAAAAACAAATCCAGTTCAGTTCATCCATGAATCAGCTGCAACTCACCGACCGAGACTTCCTGAGCGAAGGCCAGCGAGATGAGGAGGAGCGGCAGCCCCACCACCACACAGGTCACCATCTTGTCCACGGCCAGCTCCGTCCGGACGCTGCGGTACCGGGCCTGGTTCGGCTCCTTCAGCAGGAAGTCGCTGAACACGTATTCTGTAGCTACGTGTGCGATGGCCATGTCTCCGCTCTGCAACGATCTGAACGAAAAACGCTTTGCTTGTTCAATCCGTTCCTCTGAGCTGCTTTCATTTGAAGAATATTAAGAAGCAAACAATCCTGATAATCACATATTGATCAAGTTTTATGTAATGAAAGCTTGGACGTATTCTGGTTATTTTGAGCAACAGCAACCCTACACCTTCAGTTTGTTATTCATTCATCCATTCATATACCTAAAATATGAACACCTGCAGCTTTACAAACACTTTTATACATATTATAGTGTTTTTATCTCAAGGAATAAGTCTTGTTATAATTTAATATCACATATCTAATATGCATCATGAACTAGACAGCATTGTGGGATAACTGGCTTTAAAATAAATTTATTTTGCTTCAAATTCTCCCAAACTGCCCACTTAAAGAGATTTAAACGTCCAGTTTTTATTGACAGCAAAGTATTAGGAAATACTGTAAATATATGATAATAATATTGAAGTAGTTAGAAGGTTATCAGAATTTAGTTGTGTTTTCTTATCTCTTTACTGGCAAGAATCACAGCAAATGAAAATAACTATTGTTTTCATACAAATAAATAAAAAAGATCCCATGGAAATAATTATGAAAATATAACATTTGTTTACTCTTTGCAAAGTAATGAAGATCGGTCAAAACAAAACTCACAAAGTAAGAATCATTTTTTTCTCGTATTAAGGTTAACATTTCCAAATTTCACGTGTTTGTTTATCTACAGAAACAGCCGAAGCTGTTTTGTTTACATTCAACGCGTACCCACATTTCAGAATTGCATATTGATAATGAATCCTGTCATGATTGCAATTAAGAAATCGTGATTATAAGAAACATTTGGCGAAAGTTCAGCACCTTCTGATTTAAATAAAATATTTAAATTGGAATTTAAACTGTTTGTGAGACGTGGACGGTTCTCTTTGTGACAAATCTGAAAAGAAAAAACAATTAATTCTTCCAACTTTTTATTAAATACGAACAAAAGACGAGCTAAAAGAGGCTCGACTTTGTGTTTATGGTGCTCTAAATAAAAATAAGTTTAAAAAGATCCTAAAATATGAGGGTTAATTTCCCTGCAGCATTTCTTCAGGCATTTCTGACCTGACTGGACAAAGAAGCTCCATGTTCACACCTTTTAATACTTTGCTACAGTTTCAAACTGCAATGACTATATCCACTTTTTAAAACCACAGTCAGGAGTTGAGCTAATGTTAAAGAGTTAAATGTGGTTAAATAAACAAACAACTTCGACATCAACAAGCTTCAACAGAGTTTTTCAACAGTAACTTTTGCGAAAACTACAACTAATAATTGTAATATGTTGTATTAAAAAAATAAATCTATACTTGTTAATCCAAGGTGTGTACTAAATCAGTTTTCGGTTTTATTTGTTTTAAAGTGGAACTTACCAATACGGCTCCGGTTGTTTGTGTTTTAATTTAATCAAGAATTAAACTATCAGAGCTACTGATAAAACTAGTTAGACGATTTATATAAATTACTAGAGAGCATATATTTTTAGACAGGAGTAGCATCGCGCTAAAATAAGAAAAACAAAAAAACAAGTTTCAAAAAAAAGAAAAAAAAATGTCTTCCTTCTTCCTGTAAAAAAAAAAACTTCTTCCGCCTTTCTTACTGCTGCCTTCACGGACACACCAACAGCGTGGGAGTTTTGTTCGAGCCAGTGAGAAAGCAGCAAAATTTGGTGTGGTAGTAGCAGCGTGTCATTCTCAAAATAATGACAAATCACCCTTCAACTTTAAATTTTCCACTACATAACATGTTTAAAAAATATATTTTGGCATACTTTTAGCTTGTAGCTTTTTGCTACTTTAAGCATTTAGCTACCATCAATTACTGTACACTTGTAACAATTCTGTTAATTTTAGGTTTTACCTTTGATCTGCTACTCTTACCTAGCCTTTTGCTGCTTTTACCTTTAAGCTGACCTTTTGCTATGTTTAGCTTCTTGCTAGCTGTAAGCTAATTTTAGTTAGGCTTGGCTGCATTTAGTTTTAAGCCAAACTTTTGCTGCTTTTGGCTAGAGTTGTTAATTTTAGCTAGCCTTAGCTGATAAGATATTCTTTTGCTTATTTTGGCTTTTAGTTAATGTTTTGCTACATTGATATTTTTGGCTAGCCTTTTGCTACTTTTTATCCTATAGCTACTTCTTTGCTACTATTTAAAGCATATGAACTCGTCTGATTTATTTGGCTTTCATTTTGTGTTTGTGATATTTCCAGCAGTCTGTGAAGGCACCATCCTCGAAGGCAGCGTGACGACGCAGCATCCAGCTAAAACTACAACCGTAAAAATAAACCACGAAAGTTTTTCTACGTTGTTCACACACATAAGGTTATTTTGTTGTTGTATTTGTTGTTTTGCGTAAGACTGCTTTTTTTTGTTAAAATACACTCGGTTTTCTGTGGAAACATCTGACAAATGTAAAAAAACAAAAACATTTTTTTTGTTGATGTCAGTCGCGATGAATTCTGGGCATTCTCGCTGTGCCCTCTGTGGTCCCAAACTTCACCGAGCTGCGTCAAGTTCACATATATGGGCACAAATCCGCCGGAAACACCAGGACATTACTGTACAAAATAAAAGCTTGGAAATAAAAACGACGTTTATTGCAAAACGCAGCGACCAAAATTACTCCTGAAGTGTGCGTGTGTGTGTTTGTGCGTGTCTAATAGCAAAATATCCCATGAACCACAGGACACATGTTACATTGGACATACGGTCCACTTTATCAACCCAAAGATGTTGCTACAGCCAACTGAACTTTGAAAACATACAGATATAGCCAATGAACAAAAATCTGGCGTGGTAGTAGCTGAGACTCATTCTCAGCATATACTTTGAGCATGAACTGATCACAGAAGATGCTTTGATCATCGTACCTTGCACTCCTTGCAGTCAAACCTGTCAATTAGCAAAATGACCCACCTGGACGGATTTTTATGAAACTTCCAGTATAAGTTCAATGGATGCACATTTACAACATAAGATAATTCAATGGCAACCCAAATAAAGATGGCTGCTACAGCTATCAGCTAACTGGCCTAAGAAAACACAAAATAGCTATTATTCAGTCATTTTTACTGTCATTAAACTGACCTTTGGAATATTTGTAGCTGAGAGTCATTCACAAAACATACTCCAAGTGATACTCTTTGCAAAAGAATTTAAGCTTAAAACTTTAGCATTAACAATTTGGACACAATCTGGTCTATTATCAAAATATCCAATGAACTACTGGACAGATTCTACTCAAGCTCACAGAAAGTGATCACTGGATGTACATTTACAACTAATTAACTTTTGAGGTCAGTCTGATTCAAGATGGCCACCACACAGTTATTTTACTAAAAAACTGAATATTATATATGTCAATCAGTTTTGCATCAGCTAAACGCCGATGTGGTGGTAGCTGAGCGTTATCCTGACGCTTACTGTGTGACATCTGGCAGTTTTGTGCATGACATTATTTTTAATGTTTGAACAAAACTGTTCGAACTGTGTAATTTCTTATAAAATGATTTTAATTTAAAACTCTGGGATGAAAGGTGGCAGGCGATATGCATTCATTTAAGGACTGCTACTTGAAACTCTCAATATCAGATATCCAAGTTCATCCTTAATGCACCATTTCAAAACCAAAGGGATGCTTTTTTCAAACAGGAAGTTGGTCCCAGCAGTTCTTCCTCTGATTTTATCCTCAAATGGTGTCCCCATTGAGTTTGTTGATTCCTATAAATATTTGGGTATCTTGGTCGACTCACATCTCTCTTTTAAGCTTCATGTGGAAAACTTGATAAAGAAACTGAAAGTTAAACTGGGTTTCTTTTTCAGAAACAAATCCTGTCTAACCCTGAATGCTACAAAACGCCTTGTATCTGTGACTTTCCTTCCCTCAATTGATTATGGTGATATTGTTAACATGAACGCTCCTACAAGAACCCTGCAGATGTTGGATGCTGTCTATCATGGTGCACTAAGATTCATAACTGGCTGTAATTATCGTACCCACCACTGCACCCAGTATTCACTGGTTAACTGGACATCATTAACTTCACGCAGACTCTCTCACTGGTACATTTTCATCTTTAAATCACTTCTTGGTCTGCTGCCTTCATACATCTCCTCCTACATGTCTCTGCGTGAGTGCAGCTACGGAGTGCGCTCTCAGGACATTATTACCTGCAGTGTTCCCTCAGTGAGAACTGAACTAGGCAAAAGGGCCTTCTCCTACTCCGCTCCTGTTTCCTGGAATATCTTACAAAAAGATTTGAAGCTCTCGACCTTGACCTCTCTAAGTGTCTTTAAGAATCTGTTGGACTCCTGGCAGGGACCAATGCAGACATGTTCCTGTTTTTAGTTTTCTACATTTGTCTTAGAATCTAGCTGTTTTTTTTGTTTTGTTACCTTTTCCTTTTAGCCATCCTATTTGTTAAAAAAAAAAAACTAAAAAAAAAACTGTAGTATGCTTTTCTTATAACTGTTTATTGTTGTTGCTGTTGTCCATTGTTGTCATCTTTCTTTGTTGAAATCAGGTCTCTCTTGTAAATGAGTCCTCGAGGCTCAATGGGATTTACCTGTAGAAATAAAGGTTGATTGATTGATTTCTGACTTCCTTTTTTTTTTTTTTTTTTAGCACAAACGCGCTCAGCCGTGGCATTTATTTTGAAAGCCTCTCCCGGAAGCTGCCCGCTCTCCAACTGTTTGATGACGCCGGCAGCTCCTTCACTGCCTCCATTCATTTCATTCGCGCGCCGCCGCATCCGAGCAGCGAGCCCTCCCCTCCTGCTTCTCTCCGCCTGGAAAGATGGCTGCTCCGGCGGTGGTGAGAAGCTCCGGCCCGCCGCTCTGCCCGAGCTTCGCGGAGGTCTGCTCGTTCCTGGAGAGGTACGGACCGGCGCTGGACCTTCCCGAGATGACTTTCCCGCAGATGGAACGATATCTGCGCGACACCGCGGCAGGTGAGAGGTCGGCAGAAGTGGCAGGAAAGAAAGCTGCGACACTCGCCGAAGAAGGGGCCAGCTCCACGACCATCATCATCATGGTGATGATGAGGAGCGGGATGGAAAATGTTGCGTTTGGTGACCCGCACTTTGAGCCGTTAATTTACCGTTAATGACTCGGGTGGGAGTCAGTTTTCCTGGACAAGCAGGTAGTTTTGTGAGGAAAAATATGGAAAGACTTGTGTATTAAAGTTTGGGGAAACGGAGACACCCAGGAGCGCAACGTTCGGCACCATGTTTTGCTCGGTACCAGGTCGTCCCTAACGTTGACCGGCTGATCTTTTAAACTTGATGGTGATGCGGCTCCGACCACACGCAGACAACCGGTTAGCTCCGGAGCCTCGTCAGGTGGAATTTTTTTCACCGGCCTTCCCTCACAGCCGGTTCCCGGTGTCACACGGGGTCCCTGTGCGGGCACGAACATTACATGATCACCCCAGTCGGTGTCTTTCACGGCTGTCAAAACGCAGAAAGCGATGTTCTCCGAAAACACTCTGGATGTTGTTTTTTCGGAAGGGGGTAAAAACCTGGACATGCGCATTAGCCACTAGCTAACAAGCTAGCTTCAAAGATTCGTTCAAGTTTTCCACGAAATTAGAAGATCTACTAATAACTCAACACATTATCTTTTAGGAATGAAAATTATTAGTGGTTTAATTGTTAGTTAAAAACGGGGTTTGCCTCTCTTGCTTCTTAACTATGTAGTTAATGGTGGTGTAGCGCCGATAACGTATGTTTTATTTCTTAAAATGAAATCAAACGTAACAGCTAATGTATTTACTGTAGACCACTGCCTTGTTTCTCTGGCATGTCCTCGGACGTAATTAACATTATTTTTTTCCTGGTCTGAACTCTGAATCCTAGTTTAAAAGACAAAAATTTGGCGAACCAGAACAGAAAACTGGAATGTCCCACAAAATTAACGGCTCAATAAACGCCCCACGTTATATCGTGCATAAAAAAACATTTTAATTAGTTCGGTTTTCAAAACTATAATGCGTCTATTACGTTATTGAAATTATGATGTTTATAATAATAATGACTAATAATATAATAATAGCTGTTTATATAATTTATAATTAACCCAAATCTATAAACGTGATGGTTTATCTTTGTTTTTGTCTTGTGTGATGCAGTTTTAAAACTATTATTTAGTTACATTTGTCTGTTTATGTTTTTGTATTGTAATACAGTAAAAATACTAATTTACAAGTAAAAGCCCAGCATTTAAAAGTCACTCATGTTGTACTTTTTATTATGAAAAAGAGTTCCTAAAGTACAAAAGTCAAAGGTTTGGAATCTTGTAAAGTGTCGTTTATTTAGCTTTTAAGTGATAATTAAACTGTTTTAAAATCTTGCTCATGCTTGCAGCAATTTGCTGTTGTAGTTGATCAAGGTGTAGGTTCTTTATTAATTTTGCATGATTCATCCTAATCTTGTTTTGTCTTTTTTAATTTGTATTCGGCTGCAGAAGAATTAAAACATGAATGTCAAGAAAGAAATAAGTGCAATCTTTAAGTTAAAAGTCTGTCATGGTGATTAAAAAATCACCTGTTATTAAAGACATTGCTCCTTTTTTCGCTAGCATATTATCTTAAAGACAGCTCAGTATTTTTTATTAATATCTGTAACTGCTTTTTGTTTAAATTAATCAACAGATGTCCTCAAAACGCAACAATTTAAACAAATTATATTTATTATATTAAATATTCTTGATGCAGATATGATGAGTTTTGTTTAATAAAATTAGTTTACTTGAAGTCTTACATTTTATATAGCAATATCCTGTTTTAAATTGTCTGTTGTCCCTTAAAAAGTAAATAAGAGAAAATTTAGACCTTATTTTTCTCCACATCTTTGTTTGGAGTAATTTATTGTAAAGGTTCAAAACCAGCTGGAACAACTCTGACTTTACTGTCGAGTTCAAGGGATTTTGAGTGGAGTGAATGTTTGTTGGAAAAATCTGTGTTAATTTCAATTTTCATAATCATGTTGTGTGTTTTTAGTTCCTAAACCTCTGGTGGATCTTCATGTGAAGCTGCTCAGAAAACTGGGGAAGTCTGTGACCACCGACCGCTGGGAGAAATACCTGGCTAAGGTGAGAAGCGTTTGTTTCCACGTTTGAAATGAGGCAAACTTCTGCTTTTTATATGATTTAAAGTATTAAATGTTTTCACCTGACTGAAACGATTCTAATGTCCCGCAGGTTTGTCAGGAGCTGAACAGCACGTGGGCCTGGGAGCTGGAGCAGAAGGGGTACCAGGAGATGTCTATGGAGTGCAAGTCCAGCATCCTGAAGGTAAAACCCTCATTGTCAACGTGAACCACCGTGAAACGGATCATCTGGGTGCTGTAGAACATTTACCTTCCTCTGTCTGGTTGTTGTTAGTATCTGTGTGAGTGCCAGTTTGACGACAACCTGAAGTTTAAGACGGTGGTCAACGACGAGGACCCAGAGAAGATGCGTCTGCAGCCCATCGGCCGGGACCAGCTGGGCTTGATGTACTGGCTGCAGCTGGACCAGGAGCAGAACATCCGGCTGTACACGGAGGAGCAGGACGATCTGGACGGGTCCACCTGGAAGTGCATCGTCAGGTTGCACTTTTGTCTCGCGACTCACAAAAACGTCTTTAGTTGTTTTGTTTTTTCCTCTGGCGGTCTGATCAGCATCCATCTTCACAGGACCCGCAACGACCTGGCTGAAGCTCTGGAGCTGCTGAAGGCTCAGATAGAACCGAACCAGAGTCAGGACCAGAACCAGGCTGCAGGTGACACTCCTGCAGAGAAACAAACCGGTTCGTTGGACAAATCAGCAGATTTTATTTTTTACAATTAGCGGTTAAGTTGAAGCTTTTACCAGAGAGAAAACGTAAATGCGACCACGAAATCATCTTAGAAACGGAAACGTATTTTAAAGTTCAAAGGCTGAACAGTCCAGTTTTTCATGTCCAAATTGTTTGCTTTAATAAATAACTGGGTCTGTAGTTTGACGTTTTGGTTTTGATTCTCAGGTGAAAACGACTTTGGAATCAGCGACGCCAAACTCCTCACAACTACCAAGGAAGAAACTGACGATAAGCTGAACCTTGTTAAGGAAGAGAAACCATTCAAGCAAGGTAGCCACGTTTTATTTTACTGTAATATAAAAATAAATCATGGGTAGAATGTGCTGTGACAGGAAGTCAGAGAAGAGGAGGTTGGGTTTATTTAATAGTAAAAAAAATCCAACCAAACACTAAATGTTTTCTGTGCCTGAAATGGTTGATTTCTGAACTCTTGTGAATCTCGATCCTTAAAGCACAAAGTGACCACAAAGGAAAACCATAAAGAAACAAAAATATGGTCATGAAATTAAAAAAAAGATGCAAAATATTGACATAATTTACAGCTGTTGGTAGAAAACATCAGTCTTTCTTTTTGGTAAGTCAATCTGCTCATGCTGTGTTCCCTCTCTCCTCGATGTTTGTAAAAGTGTAACTGTTTGTATTTTTAATTTATTGTTTTGTTTGTTTGTTTGTTTTCAGGGGTGAAGCAGGAGGAGGTGCCACCCGTCAAACAGGAAAACCCAGAATCTACGATGATGGACAGAAAACCATCTGCCTTCGATAACCGCGTCAGCACCATCACCGCCGTCAAATCAGAACCCGGGGACGCCACCACTCCAAAAGATGCAGTTCCCATCGTCATGGCAACCACAGTGAGCTTGACTAAGCTCAGCAAGGACGAGGAAGCAAAGTTGGCCGTCGTCAGGAGCAACCAGCAGGCCAAGATACCTCTGAAGAAGAGGGACCTTAAGCTTGCTGACAGCTTCCATAGCAACCACCTTAACAACAGCAGCAGCATCATCGTGTGTAACCCCGCAGCGATCAGCAGCAAAGACGGGAAGCTGCTCAACTCGTTAGGACCCCAAGGAGGTCCGGCGTCTTCACAGCAGCAGGTCGTCATGGCGCCCAGGCAGGAACTGACTAACGGAAGAGCTTCTCACCTGCCTCACAAAGAGGGACAAAACGGGGTCATGGGGGTCACAGGGCAAGTTGTTGGTCACGTTGGGGTCATCCGCAGCCCCTCTGAGTACCACAGAGCCCCGTCTGCCGGGCAGCAGGAGCAAAACGGGCCGAGTTCAGAACCCTGTGGGCCCAGGGCCGTGGAGGAAGATAAGGAGGTGGGTCGACAGTCGGTGCTGGTAAGGAAGGGACTGACTGGACCGGAGGCGACACCAGCAGCTACATTCCTTCCTCCTGACCCAGCGACGGAGGATCAGAAGTGTGGAAAGCTGCAGTCATCATCTCAGAAACCCGACGGACCTCCTGAAGCTGAGGAGAGAAAAGTGGGTTCTGTTGGCGTCCCCTCTGTGTCTTCAGTCACCATAGGGAAGACGGACAAAGACCAGGACAAAAACACAAAGGAGTCAGGAGAGAGTCGTCGACAGAAAGACGAGGATCCAGAGAAGCTGGGGAAGGAAGCACCGGAGCGTCATGTGTCCGCAGGGGTCAAAGGTGATCCAGGAAACAATTCAGGAAGAGGTGACTCAAAATTAAGCTGTACAGTTTTATCTCTAAAGATAAAGAAGTGGGATAAAATGGACCAACCGGGGCTCAACGGTGGGCTGGCGGGCCGGGTCAGGGTGAAGAGCAGTGGGGCCGGATCGGAGCAGAAACAGGGTCCTCTGGAGGAGGCCTCCTCCGAGCTCCAGAAAGAAGGGATCCGCTTAAAAATCAAGATTCCTCCCCACCGGAGAAACAAGCTGAAGAAGAAAGGAGGAAAAGAGGAGGAGGAGAAAGAGCGGGAGGTGCATGAGGAAGGGAGGTCACTGAGGAGATCCGCGAGGATCTGCAGGTACGTGAGGACGACCAAAACAAGCGCAGGACTAAAAATGAGCGTTTTCTGTCAAAATACAGCTTGAACTCTGAGCCCCGACTGACTGCTGAGGCCTGTTAAAGCAGCCGAAACAGAGTTGTGATCAGAACATTAGCTAAAATTAGAAAATCTGAAGCCAAAGACAAAGCCAGCTGAACATTAGCTAAAAGATAAAACCAACAGAGCAGTAGCTTAAAGCCAAAAGTAGCAAAATGGTAGCTAAACAATAGACTAGTAAAACAGGAGCTAAAGGTTAAACCCAACAAAATCGTAACTACCTGTAAATGCAAAAACGTAGCTAGAAGCTAAAATTAGCAGAACAGTTACTAAAATCTAAAGCCAGCAAAACAAAAAGTACAAAGTTAAATCAAAGTTTCTTAAAACTATAACATAAACAGTAGCTAAAAGCTAAAATTAGCAGAACAGTTGCTAAAAGCTAAAACCATCAAAACTAGCTAAAATCTGAAAAAGTTGCATAAAGCTAAAACTGGCATCACATGAGTTAAATCTAACAAAACTGGTAAAACAAGCTAGAAGCTAAAACTGATGGATCAGTAGCAGCTAAATTTAGCAGAAGTGGAGCTAAAAGCTAAAAATGAAACGAGTATGCTGAATTGGATTTCAAAAAGCACAAATGTTTTTAAGGATTGATAGAAATCTTGATGCATTTCTTGTTGGTAAGAAGTAAATAAAGTGAATTTACAGAAACTAAAAGTCACAGCTGTAATGTCCTGAATGAGCTAAAAGTTTTGATACGACTGGCTGAGTGGTTAGAGCAGTCGTCCTCCATTGCAAGAGTCGGGGGTTCGAATCCACCAGCAGTCACATGCTGAAGTGTCCCTGGGCAAGACACTGAACCCCTCGTAGTCTCTGATGTGTGTCCCATCAGTGTATGAATGTGATAAAGCTCTGATTAGTCTCTTTGTTCAATTAGCGTTGTAGAGATCTAGTATAGAGCTGTATGAATGGGTAAATGAGGCACAGATTGTTGTAAAGAGCTTTGAGTATCTTGAAATAAGATAGAAAGGTGATATATATGTACAGTCCATTTAAATATCTGAAGTAGTTAATCCAAAATGTGTTTGTAAGAAACTACAACGCAAACAACAAAATGTGATCGCTGACTGTTTTGATCTCAGCTTCGGCTCATTCTCACGTCAGATTCATCCCATCTGAACCTTTTTTTTTTCTTGAAGATCATCTGCTTTGCCAAACTGCAGGCCGAGCTCGAAGGCGGCTGAGAGTCAGAGGAAGAAGCCGCAAAAAAAACAGGCGGCGCCGGCCAAGGCGAAGGAGGAAGAGGAGGCAGAGGAGGAAGGAGACGACGAGGAGCACGGCTCACCTGCAGCGAAAGACAGAAAAGCTGGGCCTGCTGGGAAATTTATCAAACGAAGGGTAAAACCCTAAACTGTGATCTGAAAACAGATACTTTATTTTAAAATTTGTTTATTTCTCTGCTCGTTTGCCTTTATGACTTAGTTTTCCGTGTCTTTCAGGGAAAACGGAGACACGGACGACCTCGATGGACCAACATTCGCCCAAAGAGACGCAGACCCAACGAGGAAGAGGAGGGGGAGGACCGAGGGAGGAAACGAGGAGAGGATGAGGACGAGGACGAAGAGGAAGGAGCGAGCCACTCTGAGGAAGAATCGTGTAAATCGGAGCAGATTCCCAGCGAGGACGCCTGCACTCACTGTGGCCTCCCAAACCATCCAGAACTGGTGAGAGCTCATAACGCAAAGACAAAATATTTTTCTGGAGGCGTGTTCATATTCAGCCGCTCTGAGTCGATACGTTGTAGAACCACCATTTGGTCTTTCGGGGTTTGTTTCCACCCGATTTTCACAAAACTGGCATTTTAGCTCGTTCTTCGCAAAATGGCTCAAACTCCGATTGGATGGAGAGGGTCTGAACAGCAGTTTTAATGTCCTGCCACTGATTGGACTCAGGTCTGGCCTTTGACTGCCCCATTCTAACACAAACAGGCTTTGGTCCGACCCGCTCCATTGTAGATCTGGCTGGATGTTTCTGGTCGTTGTCCAGCTGGAAGGGGAACTTCAGCATGTTCTCTGTCTTGTGTTTATCTCCTTCCATCCTCTCATCAACTCTAAACAGATTCCCTGTTCCTGTTGAAGCATCCCCAGAGCATGATGCTGCCTCCTCTATGTTTCACAGTGGAGATGGTGTGTTCAGGGTTCTGTACAGTGGTAGTTTGGTCTGATCTGAGCAGAGCAGCTTCTTCCACACGTTTCTTGTGTTCCTACATGACTTGTGTTCTTCTTGACGTTTGTCCATAAAGGACAGGTTTGTGGAGTTTCCCCACTAATGGTTGTGCCGTGGACAGATTCTCCCACCTGCTTTGTGGACTTCTGGTGGTCCTGCAGAGTTATCACTTGGTTTCTTGGCTGCTTCCTGTTTAATGCTCTCCTGGCAGTTGAGGAAGACAGTTTGCCGTTGTGCCATATTTTTCCATCTTCAGATTTTGGATTGAGCAGAGATCTACGAGATGTTCAAAGCTTAACCTGCTTTAAACTTCTCAGCAACTTTATTAGTGTGTTCCTTGATGTGCGACTGTGGCTGAGTGGTTAGAGCAGTCGTCCTCCAATGCAAGAGTTGGGGTTTGAATCCACCAGCAGTAACATACCGAAGTGTCCCTGAGCAGGACACTGAACCCCTCATTGCCTCCGATGTGTGTCCCATCGGTGTATGAATGTGATAAAGCTCTGATTATTCTCTTTAGAATGATTTGTTCAAGTAGCTTTGTAGGTGTATAGTGGAGTGCTGTGTGAATGGATAAATGAGGACAGATTGTGTTGTAAAGAGCTTTGAGTGTCTTGATAAGACAGAAAGGCGCTGTATAAGTACAGTCCATTTACCATTTCCTTGGTCGTCATCAGTGGTGGGCTCAGTTCCGCTAACAGTGAAGCTAACTTTGAATACTGTTAGCGGAAGTAGCTCCTACTAAATTTGTATCTGGTACATTCATCCATTATCTTTTACCCACTTCTTCCATTTTGGGTCACTGGTGCCCATTTCCAGCAATTGGGGCGGGGTACACCCTGGACGGTTTACAGGTCCGTCACAGGGACACATAGAGACAAACAAGACAAACAAACATTCTCTCTCTCACTTACACCTAGGGACAATTTAGAGTTACCAATCAGCCTAACATACATGTTTTTGGTCTGTGGGAGGAAACCGGAGCACCCGGAGAAGACCCACACATGCACGGAGAGAACATGCAAACTCCACCCAGAAAGGCCCCCGGACCAGGATTTGAACCAGGGACCTGCTCGCTGAGAGGCAGCAGCTCTACCAGTTGTGCCACCGTGCTGCCCCTGGTACATTCAAGTCTGAATTTGTTTTAAGACAGTTCTCCGCACCAAAAACATCCAGTACGATGGTGATTTTCATGGAGCGATGCAATGTAGAGATGAGCAAAGCTAAGCACCACTCGGTGACGTCACCACATGGTGCTTTTCCCCTCTCATACCTACCGCAAACAATTTCTGACTCATAGTGTCAGTTTATAGCAAAAAACAGAGACTTTATCATGAACAAAGCATGCTGGGGAATGTTCTCAGTCATCCAGAACACGGTAAATCCAAAAAACGGTTAAAGAAACAACTGGACTTCTGTTCTGTAGCTGAAGATGTTTCGTTTCTCATCCCAGGAGTTTTCTCAAATCAATGAAATGAGAGTGTGGGGTTCGAGTTATGAAGCTGAGGTGTTCTCTAAGCTGGATTCACATGCAGATTGTCCTCTCACTCCTCACAACAGAGGTTCGTTAGGGTCTTTGTTAGTCTAACTCACAGATGGGCCACTGTGCTCACATGAATGAAGGTTTTGAAAATGACCAGGTCGTTTTCACTCCTACCAAGACCTTCATTTGAGTTGTGTTCACTTACAACGTTGTCACATTACAGTCTTACTGAGTCAGCAACAGCAGTGGATGATAAAAGTTAGCGCTTTAGCATTAGCTTCCGCTAACTTTTTGGTTAGCTGTGCCCACCGCTGGTTGTCATGATGCTGTTTGATCCCAGATGTTCAGGGACAAAACAGCTGGATTTGTGCTGAGATTATTAACATTCTTAGGTGGATTCTGTTCGCTGATTAAGTGACTCCTGGTTGCTCTGGATTTGAGTTCATGGTATCAGAGTAAAGAAATGCAAGCCACATGTTTCAGATTTATATTTAAAGGGGTCTGTAATACTTTTTCATAGTAACATATTGTAAATGAGTCCAAAAGGTTCAATGGACTGTGTAAATAAAGGTTGAATGAATCTTGGTCGTTTAAAAAAAATGAGCAGAAGCTGCAGAATATTGTTGCAATCAGCAGTTTTTTTTTTAACAGGTCTGAGCCATTTATGGTGATTTCACTTGAAGATGTAAGAAAATCCGCCACATAAAACCCGTCCAGAGGCTCGGAGCGTCACGTCGTCGCTGTGTTCTTGTGTGCGTTTCCTCAGATCCTGTTGTGTGACTCGTGTGACAGAGGATACCACACGGCCTGCCTGCGGCCGCCGCTCATGCTGATCCCAGATGGAGAATGGTTCTGTCCCCCGTGTCAACATGTGAGCTGCAGAGAAGATAACAGATAACGCCTTTAAAAACGTGGTTATGGTTTATTATTAAATTAATCTTCTGTATAGTTTAAACGATGGACGGTGGTTTTCCTCTTTTAGAAGATGCTGTGTGAGAAACTGGAGGAGCAGCTGCAGAATCTGGACAGCGCTCTGAAGAAAAGAGAGCGAGCGGAGAGAAGGTAAACGCACCGAACCATCTTCTCGACTGTTACAAAATTACAACGAATATAGAAATGTCCTTTTCTTGTTCCTCTAGGAGGGAACGTCTGGTGTACGTGGGCATCAGCGTGGAGAACATAATTCCTGTAAGTGAAGTTTTACGTACGAGGTGAACCTCCAGATTTGGGCTTCAAAGTTTGTTTTGTAGTAGTTTTAATATTTTCATCATTTTAGAACCAGACATCAGAACTACCTTAACGTGTCCAGCTGCAGCTGATGGAAGCACTTTTGGTTTTTGTTTATTTACAAGTTTAAAAGCTTGAACCATGTCTGATTTTACAGGGATGAGTGGAGTTTTTATTACAGTGACAGTAAATCACCTTTTTCAGGAGGGAGAGGAGGACGAAGAGGAGGAGAAAACCGTAAAGCCCAAAGATTCCAAAAAGAGCAAAAATCTGGGGAGAAGATCGACCAGAACCAGAAAACACATCAGCTACAGGTGGGTCAGGAGGTTGAAGCAGCTGCTTAGAGGCATCTTGTCTCGTTTAGGAGAAACATCTGTTTTATATTTAACCATGGTTGCATGGAGCTGGGATTACGGTTCATGTCTGCTGCGTCTGTTGGTGGGTGCAGACGTGTTCGTGTGTAAAATCTGCCGTTCACCAACTTTAACCTGTGAACTGAAACGTGAAGCGGTCTGTGAAACGCTCGCTCTGCTGCAGGTTTGATGACTTCGATGATGCCATCGACGAGGCGATCGAGGAGGACGTCGGAGACCTCTGTGCAGGTGAGTGGACCACCAGGAAGAGTTTAATCTTAATCTACTTTTAATCCTCATGTTCTGTGAACAAACTGAATTCTGAGGCGACGTGACTCTGAACAAGCTGAAGCTGAGGGGTTAAAGTTAAAACAAGAAGGACAAAAATGAAATTAGCTAAACTATAGCTTATCATTTGTCAAAAATTTAGCTACAAGCAAAAATAGCAAAACTGTAGCTGAAGCTAAAAAAAAAAAGGAAAGCTGTAATTGAAAGCAAAACTTTGCAAAACGGTAACGAAAGCTACATTTTGCTCAACTGCAGCTAAAGGCTAAAACTAGCAAAACTTTAGCTAAACATGAAAATAACAAACTTGCTAAAAGCATAAAAATATACAAATGTATGTCTGAGAGCTAAAATGAGGGGGAAACGTAGCTAATTGCTAATTGTAGCAACATTGTAGCTAAAAGTTGAAATTAAAACTATTGCTACAAGCTAAAATGAGTAAAACAATAGTCACAGGCTAAATGTAGCAAAGCCATAGCTAAAAGCTAAAATAGACAAAATATCTCAAAGCTAAAATAGAGAAAAACTTTTGCTAAAAGCTAATTGTAGTGAACTTGTAGCTAAAAACTAAATATAGCAAAACAATTGCTAAAAGATAAACATGGCAAATCTAGCTACAGGTTATTTGTTGCACAATTGTAGCTAAAAGCTAAATTTAGCAATACAGTAGCAGATTTCAGACAATAATGTTTCTGAAGGAGTTGATGTTAATCTATTTTGTGGGTAAATATTTGTAAATAAAGATAATTCAAAAAGTCTAAAAGTTTCAAATACTAACAGTCAGAGCACTCATCTGCTGAATGAGCTAAAGGTTTTGATGAACAGCTAAAATAGGACAAAGTGCTGAAGTTTTGATTTGAAAAACATTCAGAAGAACAAACAAGCAGGAAAATAATGTTCATCCAACAGCAGGAGGGAGTTTTGACTCTTTAGACATAAAAGTAAAATCTTGGACTTCAAGAGGAACACGTCTCTGCAGCTCAAACTGTAGAGGTTGGAGGCAAAGACAAATAAACAAACTGAGGGTTTTCTATGTTTACTGGGATCCAGGAGGAGCAGGGAGGGGCAAGGACATCGCCTCCGTCCTCTCAGAGGACGGGAAGGACAGCCAGCGACCAATCAGAAACCAGACCCGATCGGCCAGGAACAGGAAGAGACGCCGACTGAACGACCTGGAGAGCGACAGCACGGCGGTGGAGAGCGAAGACGAGTTTCTGCTCAGTAACAGGTCAAAGGTGTCCCTTTAGAGTTCTGTCCTCCCCCCTGGACTCGTCTCACTCCTCTTCCTCTCACAGCTCGGAGGATGAGGAGTTCGGTGCATCGGGGGCAGATGATGACGGAGAGGAGGACGATGAGGATGCAGGCAGTGACGTGGGCAGCTGGGACAAAGGGCCCCGGCCCAGACGGGGGTTGAGAGGGGCACCAAAATATAAACCAAAGAGGACCCAACGCCGGGGCAGGAGACGGCGGCGAAGACGCTCCACTGAGGAAGAGGAGGACACCGATATAGATATGGGTGGGTGCCTGAAGAGCTTCATCTCATCAGAACGTAGAACTTGAATTGTTTTCTAACCCTGATTCAAGTTTTATTAAAGATTTATTTTCCCGTCAGACTCGGATCAGTTCAGCGACATGACCGACAGCGACGCCGAGAAAAAAAGACGGGGCTTGAGGCGGGGCCAGCATCAGCAGGTCAACTACCGCGAGACCTCGGAGTCGTCCGACAACTCCAGGCCCTCCACCGAGCAGGTCAAGGTGAAACGCCGCGGCAGACCACGCAAAGAGCGCCTGTCAAGCGACTTCAGTGACGGTTAGTGTCTCTGATGTATTTTCTTTAAGGAACTTATTGCAAAATATAAAGTAGAATATAAAGAGATTAAATCTAATACTTTGAAAGAGTTCACTTCAGTAGTTTTCCATATATACTGATATGCAAATTTGAAGTATCTTCCTCCTTTGCATACTTTACTCAACAAATCTGCACGTAAATACGTATTTTTTGCCGTATAAGTTGCAAATTTATGCAAAAAGGTGCAAGTCCTGTGACTTATACACCGAAGCAACTGATATACGTTTTATTTCCCATATTTATCCCATTTTTGGCCGAGATCTGACAATTTCATTCATTCTGACATGGAAAATATTGAACACTACCATTTTCAGCCGCTAGAGGACCCTTGAGCAATTTGGCAAGCCAAGTATCTCATTAATAGGTAAAAGTGGCTGTTAATGAGGCACTTGTCTTGCCATAGAGGCCACCTTCATCTCGCTCCAGAACTGCTGGAGCAAACGTCAAATCAGCTGCATATCGTCACGCCGCCCAGGGGAAATGCAGCTGATTTGACCATTAAAGTGCATTTATTAAGGAAGAGTTCAAATGAGACACACCTTTACTATGACGAGCAAACAAATAATTATTTTTAAGTGCTAACCTTGTTAAATTCTTGTTTAAGTCCTCCCGTGCACGCTCCGGCGGCCGCCATTTGGCAACCAACAGATTTTCGGCAAAACACAAATTTTTGGCCCACGTTTCCAACTGGTCAGCGGTAACGCATAATAGATGCGACTTATACGGCGAAGCGACGTATTTATGTTTTTTTCCACTCGATTAGACATATTTGGACTGATGTGACTTATACAACGGTGCAACGTGTATGGCGGAAAGTATGGTACGTCTGAATTCATCAAACTCTTCTCCGTCTCAAATGGCCCCTCCATGGATGTCTTATTGGTCCATGTTTTGTCCCGTCGCGGAACATAAAGAGAGACGTGGAAATTTTAATTCGTCTGTCCAGGAATGTTGTGAGCACAATAACTTTAAACAACTGAGGTACCAACTCTGTTTTTGCTGTGTGGCTACATCTAGGCATAAGAAAGATTCTTTTGAAAATTGGGTTGTCACATCAAAATCCCAAATGGCCACCATCGTATATGTTTGTAAACCACCCGCTCCTATCATTTGAGGAAAATATGATTTCTAATTTTTATAATGCTTAAAAGCATAGTTTTCTCAAATCAGTGGGGTGGCCGAAGATTAATGTATGGGGGCCGAGGCCACCGTTGGCCACCCCTGGTTCCTCCATTGCACCTGGTGGTGGATAAAGTTGCTCCCTCCGTTCACCAGGATCCGTCACTCTGTGCTTGAACAGGAAAATAAAAAAGTCTACCTCTGTTCTTCCTCTTTCCCACTTGAACATCTTGCACCAAAAACATTTAGGTTTACTTGCATTGTTCAGTTACAACCCAGAAAAACACTCGCCTCGAAAACTACAAACATTCACTATTAAAATCCTTCAGCGACGGGCGTAGCGCTTGTTTTCAGTAACTTCGGCTGATGCTGCACATTAATAAACACGTTAGCAGCCGGTCCAAATATTTCTGCCTTCAGATGTTGATGTGAGCAAAATATCCTGTTCTTAGTTTATGATTTTATTTTTTTTTATTTGACCCGTCTTCAAAGACCTTTAACTTTTCTTAGTAACAAGCTTTTAAATCAGTTTTATCAAATCCTCTTCATTTGGACATCTGGATGTTCTTCCTTTTAGTGTCGCATTCATCTAAAGACTCAGAGGAAGAGGACGAGGAGGAAGATGACCAGAAGAGAGGGAAAAAGAGGAGAAGAGAGGAGCGGGAGGACCTGCGGGGTAGAAGGAGGAGAGAAAAGCAGAGAGGATACGAGGAAGAGAAGGACGCAGGAGAAGGAGGGAGAGTGAAGAAGAGGCAGCTGGAGAAGAACGACAAGAGGAGATTATCGCGGACAGAGAGGGAGGAGGAGGATCTGGAGAAGATGGGCAGGGGGAAGAGGAGGGAGATCCTGTCGCAGCAGCGGCGCCGACGGCTCGCTCAGATGCTGAAGAAACGACGACCTTCGACGGACGAGGACGAGGAGGAATCTGAGGATTCTGAATCTTCATCAGAAGAGGACCGTCCGATTCGTAAAAGACTCAACCGCATCGACTCCGATGACGAAGAGGACGAAGGACAGAAGGCGGTGAGTAAAAGGTCCTCGGCGGCAGAGAGGAGGGCCGGCAGGAGGAACGAAAGTGACGCTCAGGAAAAGGGGAGGGGCCGGAGCCCGTCCTCGTCAAACAGACATCAGGCCTCCAGAGGCCCAGAGAAGCCTGGGACTGGGAGTGCAACTGTGCCCCGGGACAGTGCAACCTCAAGCGGGCAGAAGCGGCACAACGGGCCCCTGCATGAGGATGAAGAGTACGAAGAGGAGGAGGAGGGCCAGTCGAGCTCAGTAAACTCGGTCCAGAACAGCCCTCGGTCATGATGGCTGCGCTCGTTTCAGATGCTCATCCCCCACAGACCACCTCTGAAATCGGACCCCCCTCTCATATTTCTTGCTGTTGTACCGTGGTAGAGTACCGATCACCGTCACACCATCCCAACGCAGACCGAGGCTCACCTGTTGGGCGGACCCGACGAGTCGGACCAAAACCTCCTGACGGGCTCGGTGTTCGTCTCGTGTCTGACTGAACCACAGAAACCTGACGGTCATCCCTGTACGGAGGAGTGCGTTTGTAGTGGACTGCATCTTCAAGCACTTCATCATTCTTGTAGCACCTAAAGGGATAGTTCAGATCTTTTGAAGTGAAGGTTTGTGGAACAGTTACAAACAGTTAGTATCTTACCTGTTGCAGACTCCAATCTCAGAGATTTCACAACCGTTAAGGCGAACGCTGTTTTATGAACCTTTACATTTTTTGTCAGTTTCACTTTATTTGATTATTCCTGGGGGGGCGGGGGGCGCATTCCTGCTGGAAGAGCCCCAGGCTGCATTAAAAGTGCTACAGCTAACTGCTGCTGCTATTTCAATTTGCAGATTTTATATAAATAACAGTGAAATGTGAAAACCGTGCCCTCGTTATGGGTTCTTTCTCTTAAGATATTTTTGAGGTTGTAGATGTTTTTTATGAAGGAGAATCTGTTCCCTCAGTTTAGAGAAATGTGCAGCAGGTGTTGTGTTCAGTTTTGTTTTCAGTTTGAAAGAGGAAAATGAGATTAAAAAAAAAAAGAATGAGACGAGGGTTTAGGGACCGTCCACAAACGGCAAAATCAGGAAATAATTATTATATTGGCGTTTTCTGTGTTTCCACCTAAACATCAAACGTGCGAGTCGTTCCAGCAGTCCAACTAGTTTTATTAAAATTTGTCCAACTTTTAAATAATTGCTTGCTATTAAACAGAATGTCTGTTAGCAAATCTGTGCTTCAGATTAACCAAACTGAGGGAACAGCTCAGATTAGCCGTTAGCTCGCCAGTCTGGTCGGGATTAATCTTCAATAAACAAGAGTTCATTTGTTCAGAACATTTCCCCAGAACCCACTTCAGAAGATCTAAAGTATCGTTTTAATATTCTGCCTTCGAGGGGAGTCGGTGTCAGAGCGAACACTTTGTATCCGATAAATCTGCACACGATCGTCCGTTTTACGTTTAGTCTTGTTAACAAACCGACTGGTGACGTTGAATTTGTTCAACAAAGTGCATTCAGGAAGTTTTAACTAGGGGTGCGCCGATTTCTAAAGAACCTGACCTGCCGATGCCGGTTTTGTTTTATAAGCGACACCGTCAGGTGTCGGGTCACCTTCAATTTTCCAATCCTATTTTATTGAAAAACATACCCTTGAACAATATCCTTCAAACAATACAAACTTGTTTTAACTGGCCATGAGGTAGTGCTCTGAAATAAACGAAGTTCAAACAATTGTTGAAATCAGTTTCTCATGTTTAAATCGGCCGATCGCCCCAAATTAAGAAAATGGGGGCCGATAAATCGGTGCACCTCTACTTTTAACCAATACCTAAAGTCTGGGAAATTATTGGCTAAACAACTAGAAAAATAGTAAATTAGTTGTTAGAAATCTGCACGGGAGTTTCCATTGGATGTGGATTCTTTAATAGAGTTGTAATAAAACCCTAAACTTATCAGTTTTATTAAAGTTTGGATCCAGAGTGTTCGTTTTCTGTTTCTCCCCACAGACTTCGACCTGGAGGGTTCACGCTTGCTGTAAATACTCTGCCTGTTCCTTGTAAGATAGTAGATGTTCCGATAGTCTTCTTGTAAAATATAGTCGTATATTTTCTATATTCTGAAGGTGAAGAGAGACGAGAGATCGGGCTGCGTTCAGCTTCACCCGCAGTCCGCTTGTTCCCTTCGAGTCTGCTGTGGAAAAAGAGCGAACATAAAAATAAAAAATGACGTTTAAACAAGTTTACTGAATATTTACAGATGGACGAGCCTAAACGTCGTACGGGAGATGCGTTAATGTGACTTTGTTCTTGTGTGGAGCCCCTTCATGTAAAATCAGCTGAATGCTGCTCGGCCTCTCTTAAAGGTTTTTAACGTTTCATATCCGGAGTGATAGAACAAGCCTTTTTTTTTTTTTTAATTAACGTTATTACCGTCTGGATTTTCTTAAACTTGGTTTCACTTTTTCCATCAAGTCAAAGCACTGTTTAGGTTTTATTAGTCTGCTGGTGGTTTTGATGGAAGAGGCTCTGGTCCCTCGTGATGCCTGTAATAAACAGAAAGTGTTTGACTGGTTTATTATGAACCTCACCGAGCTGGTTTTTATTTTGTGCGCGTGTGTTGAAAACTGCCTTTCAAATGTTTGTTTTCAAGTTTCTTTCAACATTCAGGAGTAAAAAGAATTTATAGCAGGAGTTACCAGGCGTGCGCTCATATGATGCATGTTTCAGTGGAGCCAACATGAACTTTGTACAATTAATTTTGTATGAATGAATGAAAGGAAAAATCTGAAAGCTGATTTCTGCCACTTTAAAATATAAATCATAATTTTCAAAAATTGAATTGCTGATGAGTTTCCATGTGGTCCTTGCGCAGAAGCTGTGCTAATCTGCATCATTCCAGTTTTAGTATAAGCTAACGAACTAGCACACATGAAAATTATGGCTTAGCATCTCATATTTATGACTTTGTATCGCGTTGCGTAACGAAGACTTCGCATCACAAATTTATTAATTAGCGTCACAGGTTAACGTTGCAATTATAGCTTAGCGCATATGTGTCAAACTCGAGGCCCGGGGGCCAAATTTGGCCCTTGCTGACATCTGATCTGGCCCTCAAGATGATATTTGAAACATAAAATACTTCTCTTTAAATATTTTCAGTAATATTTTATTATAATGTCGAAAGCACAACACAGAACATCAAATGAGACCAATCCAACGCTTGTTGAGGAACCCATGACCAAGAAAAGATGTAGCTAAATATTTAGCTCAGACCTAAATATTTAACATGCTATTTAGGTCCGAGCTAAATATTTAGTTAGCAAATTAAATATTTATTTTGTACATTAAATATTTAGCTTGGAAAATAAATATTTAGGTTGGAGCTAAATGTTTAGTAAGCAAATTAAAGATTTAGTGTATGAATTAAATGTTTTGCTTAGAAATTAAAGATTTGGTCTGGAAAATAAATGTTTAGCTTTTAAATTAAATATTTAATTTACACCTACATATTTAGTTCACTAAGTATTTAACTTGCACGTTGTATTTAGTTTGTGAATTAAACATTTAGCTTGGACAAACATTTTAGTTTGTAAACAAATACTTAGCGTGGAGCTAAATATTTAGCTTGCTAACTAAATATTTAACTTGTAAAATAAATATTTAGTTTGGAACTATGACATTTATAAATGTATGAATAACTGAAAATATGACTGAAAAAATAAATTCTTATGAAAGGCTAAATTTAAAATATTGCTGTTAATTTTTGACTGTGTAACTTTACAAATGGCACCCCACACATATCAGAATTATTAACATCTCAATTAAGTCTCAGCATCTTGGACATTTATCTTAACTTAGCATCTCAGAATTATGACTCATCTTAAATATACGACTTAAAATCTCACAATGTGGCATATATAGCACCTGCTTTATGACCTTGGATCTTAATCTTGGTTTTGCATCTTAATGAACGATTCCACAATCATGACTTAGCATATCACATTTATGACTTGGCACATTGTCACTATGAAATATCTCAGTTAAAACTTGACATCATCGAAGTATTCAATTTGTCTTCTATTTAATAAATATGAGATGAGAATTTTTTTAAGATGTTGAATCATAATTCTGGAAGAAATTTTATAATTATGACTTATAGAATTATTTTTTTCCTTCATTGGCAGAAATGGGCTTCCATAAAAAAAAATCAAGGTAAAGCAGAAAAGCTTGCAGCTTGTTTATCAAAAAGAAAACAAAATTTGTTTGACCTTAATGTACACAAAAAAAACAACTAAATATCAAGACAGATTTCAGAAATTCATTTTAAGTTCTTATCTGCAAATGTTTTAAAAAAACGTGTGTGAGCAACTTTAAATCATATTCATGTAGTAACTAATTGAAAAGTGATTTTCTGCTGAAAGCTGCTAATAAGACTAATTTAAATCCAGCAGTTTGACTGATCTGACATCAGCCACCAAACTTTAACTTTAGTCATTTCTTTTTCAGGGTTCAAGTTTTAAAGATGTTTTTTTTTTTTTTGACAAGTTGAAACGGATCAGCTCAAAAACATTTTGCTGCTCAAATGACCGTACGGTTCTCTCTCTATTTAAAAAGAAAAACGCTTAAAGTTTTAAACGCTTCAAGAAAATATCTAAGAAGCAAATCCGATCTCCCTGTTCCGTATATATTTATATCTTAACACCAGATTTGAAATTTATTCTTTAAAAATATATATATTTTAATTTGAATGTGAATAAAACATTTACTTTTGTTAGGACAATTTTTAGTTTTCTTTTTTTTAAAAATCACCCGTTCAACAAATTATCTCAAATGTATTAGACGTTTATAAAATCTTCAGAGGTTCCCCCTGGATGTGAACTCGGCTCCTTCCATTTCTCGGTGGTGCCGGTCCTGGTGTAAAAATTAATTTATAAATTAATTAAAAAAACAAACATTTCCTCAAAAACACACCTCCGACTGTTTTAATATTATTCCTGAAAGTTTAAAGCTGTTGCGAAGATTTTCCACAAACAGAAAATTTGATTGATGTCGAAGATTTGTTGGGACTGATTTCAGGATAAATTTTAAGAATCACACACAAAAAAACCCCCAAAAAAACAATATTGATGCTTCTTTAGACAAATAAGCTGCAGAATGACTTTTTTAATGTAGTGCAGGTCTTTTCAACTAGTGGCCCATGGGCTGGATTTGGCCCTTTTCAAATGTTTTAGGGCCCCACAAAACTGACAATCCCAAACTGACTTGTCAGAATAAAATGTGAAAAGTATCAGAGCTACTTCTACCTATATCCACCCGTTAGCTAATGTTGATGTGGCTGGTATTTTATAAGAACTCTGATGGGTTCGACAGATATTTTGCTAACAGACCAACAGGGTTGACACCATTGATGATCGTTTTAAACAAAGACACACAATGTGCAGCGCTCATGTTGAGAATGACTCTGAGCTACACCCACTTCAAATTTTAGCTCAATATCTGTAACAGAAATAAACTTTGTGGGCGATAACTGGGGCGGCCATCTTGAATTTATCCAGCATCAAAATTCAATCGTTGCCTTTTTGGTTGCAGGTGATTAATTTAAGCTCATTAGCCTCAAACCCTCAGTATCTTGTTTTTATACAGCCCACTTGCAGCTGAAGTTGAACGGCCCAGAAGGGACAGATCAGGGTTTCTACACATTTCCCCTTTTAAAAATCCTGATTTCTAAATTTTTGACACCCAAGTACAAACATTTACAGCGTATGAACAGTAGACCGTACACAAAAAAATAAAAAGCAGTGACTGACATCTGGAACAAATAATCTGCAACTTTATGACTAAACCTCCCTCTGAGGTTTCGCTGGTCATCCGGTGTCAAAACAACTTCCAAGTCTTCGTGCGAGTTCACTCGTCGAGGCAGCTGAAAGGAAGAGGGAAACAAAAAGGCCAAACGGCTCCTGGAGTAAAAACTGGTCTTTATTCAGTTTGGGTGCGAATGTTTGTTTCTGTAAAAGCTTTATGTGGTTTTATTTCACATCCAAGTGTTAAACGCTGCATCTTTATCGTTACAAAACCAGTTTAAAATAAAAACAAATGTTTCTTTTAAGTACGTAAACTTTATTTCTTGCATAAAAGAGTCACAATTTGGACATTTTTATCATGGAAAACCTTCAAACACTCCTCTGACGGGTACAAAAACTAAAAATCTATTAAATGACATCAACCGGATAAACGACTTGGAATGAGCGCTGAAGTTTGTAAACAACCGTTCAAAACCTCCACTGTTCGTCTGATTTGCTTTCGCAGCAAACCTTTCATCCGAGACCTGGAAGAAGTGGCCTCAAACCGGTTTCTGAAAGTGGTCCAGAGCCCAGTTTGGTCGGCAGACACAGCCGGTCCACAGGAATCATCGCAGCAACAGTAAAACACTCGTAAACGTTAAGGCCATGGTCATTTCTGTGAAACGACCACAAGAGGTCAATAACTCGACTTGGCACTGGAGGTTTATATTAATGAGTCACTTAGAACAAAAAGAGAAACAGAACCACCTCCTGGAAGGAAAGACGTCGACTTCAGGAGAAACTGAACTACGTGAAACGTTCGATATGATCGGTGAAACGCCGACTCGGCGGCTCTCCTCTGGACGGTGGTCTCGTCCTCAGCTCAGTAAAAACAGACGACTGTAAACATGAACGGACACGACGCAGAGCCGGACGCTGCTGCAGCCGCAGAGCTCCGTTTGATCGGCCACAGATTAAAAACGCTGCCCGTCTGCTCAAATCAACCTGACCTCTGACCTTTCTCATCAAGCTGCTGCTGCTCATTAAAACTCTAAAAACTGACGTGGCTTCAGAAACACTTCCACCAGCATCTCTGTCATAAAAAGCAATGCCAAACCTCGAGACACGAATATTATTTTATCTTTAGTCTGTGGTTAATTAAAAGAAAACTAAATTAAGTTTTGTGAACCTGAATCGTGGAGCGGCAGGATTCGTTTGCACACGACTGAACGAGCAGTTCCTTAAATAAAATTCATATTTAGAATTCTCTGTATTCTCTAAAATATGTTTATAGTAATATTCTAATATTCAACTTGAAACGACAACATTCAGATGGCTCAGAGTTCCTGCCACTGTGTCGCTGGTGTGTAATGTGTACTACCTCAAGTAATCAGATTACCTGGACACTTTTACTCTGCTGCCTCGGTTGCTGCGGGTTCCAGACGAGGTTCTGACGCTGAACTTTAACTGGCCTGGAAAAGCTGCTCCGCCAGTTTAACGTAAAACTTTTAGTCTAAATTAAACAATTCTCATCCCTGATGGAGTGAAACAAACAAAAAACAGATTAAAATCTCAACATGGATGAAACACAATAAGTTGGAATATCTGTCAGACAAACGGAGATAAAACCTCGTAAACAACGTTTAGGAGCAAACAAAGTACTTTCAGAGTATTTGGACACACCTGGAGCAGGTGTTCTGGAACATCTGTGTGTTTTTTTGGATTTATACTCATTTCTGTTTAGGGTTGTAAACGATCTCAAACAGAACCGCTGCGGTCTGGTAAACATGCGGTAACGTCAGATGCTGGTCAGCACTGAACTGGTCTCGATGGTCAAAGTGATGGTCCCGGGGAGGTCGTCGTCACGGCGATCGCCCTTGTCTTTCAGGTGGAGCGTCTTCTGGATTTTGCCCTGCTCGGCGGGCAGCGTCACCTGACCCAGGAAGGAGTCGGCGAGCACGTTGTGGTTGTAGATCTGAGGGACGCAGAGAGACACGAGGTCAACGAGGTCAACGACACGGAGACGCGACTCGCTCGGACTCGCACAAACCTCGATGTTGATTGGCCGGTTGGCTTTCTTCCTGTAGAAGAGTCCTTTGGTGTTGAAGACGGGGCTGCAGGTGCTTTTATGGACCGCAGAGCGAACCTTCGCTCCTTCGCAGCGAATGATCACGTAAGGATCTGAGGCTGAAGAAACACTTTTATTAAAAGACGTAACGATGCAAGCGAGTAACTTCTGGAGTCAGCCCAATTCAAGATGGCCGCCACAGCTGATCCGACATTAGCAAACACGACAATCACACACACAATATGGTGTGCTACTTTATTTAAATAAATAAAAACCTTCTGATTTTTATACAAACATATTTTTATGTCTAAATGATGCACAGATACGATCAAACCAAACTCAAAAACTGCGAGTTGTTCATTTAGAATTTAAAGTGTCCGTATCAAAGAAGAGAACCGGAGCCGTACCTCCACTGGAGTCCTGCCCTGCGAGGCCGTTGGCCTGCAGCACGTGGACCTGAGTGACCAGAGAGGGGTAACCACACAACCCGGACCAGCAGGTCTGAGGAGGCTCGTGCAGCGTCAGCTCCCTGCAGGACAAACGTGAAAACAAACAGTTTTACACAGAATATTAATAAATAATGCACAGCTGAAGTTTGAAGAGAGACGCAGCATTCGGTGCCGCCTCTTCCTTCCGGTAAAGCTGCAGAACTGAAGCTACGACACGTGTCCGTACTTGCAGTCGGAGAGAACGTCTGTGAAGACGCGGAGCAGGAACTCTCCCTCCAGGCCAGGGTCAAAGGTCGTGGGTATGATGACATAGCGCCCCTCAGTCAGGTCGATGCGCAGGAACACAGACCTGGAGTTGATGTAGACGCTTCCTCCAACCTTCTGCTGGGTGACGTGCATCCGGTAAGTCCTGTTCAGCTCCACCTGATCCGAGACACAAGACCGTTGATATCATCAGGCAGCTCATACGTCAGAGGAGTCTTTTCTTTGGATCTTTACTCTGTGGATGTCGAAGCCAATCGCCAGGTTTTCTCCTCGGCCTTCTCTCAGAGTGGCTCGGCGGTCTTTCTGCTGCAGACAGATCAGAACCTCGTCCTTCGGCTTCTTCACGTCAAACACGTACTGCAGCGCAAAACGCACACGAGCCCGTCCAATCAGAGCTCAGAGCCAAACGGGACAACGCAGTCGTCTCTAAAACAAAGACGTGCAAATGAAAGAACACCTGCGGGTTCTGGAGGAAGGAGCTCTTGTTGTTGGTGCACCCGCCGGCCCGGTTGAGGAGCGGGTCGTCATGGCGACGCCAGGAGCCCCGCATCACGGCCTCCTCCCAGGTCTTGTGGAGACTCATGTAGGACGTGTTGATGAGACGGCAGAGGATGATGTCTGTGAAGTTTGCAATGAAGTCATCGAAAGTCATCCTGCAGAGAGGAGGACGGGAGGAGCAGAAACCCTGGAGCGTTGATCATTTAACGAGTTCGTTAAGGAGAATTTAGTTCTAATTAACCGTTAATAACTTAACGAAGCTGATGCTGGAGAACGACAGCAGGTGATCTTATTATACCAGCAGGTGGCAGAAGTGGATTAAAACTCACCAGAACTCCCCATCATCCTGCACCGTGACGCCCATCCTCTCCCGCTCACTCTTACTGACCTTCTTCCACTCCTCAGAGCTACAACAAACAAACAAACAACCTAAATATTCAGCTGAGACACTGATAACAACAAAGTACAAACAGCAAATATCTCAACACCGTGAACTACTGAGAAAAACACTGATCAAAGTGTCACCTTGAAGGTCCTGATCCATCTAACAAAGGTTGAACAACATCAAAGTTACAAAAAACAACGATTTAGCTCTAAACTGTTAAACAGAAAGAGTGGAGGAGAAAAGAAAAAGGCGTATTTGGATGCTTATGAGTGATTTTTCTGAAGAACGAGCTTCAATTCCTCAAAACTACAGTAAGTAAAACTGTCTGCAGGTTTCAACTTTTAAAAGGAACTGACTGTTTTCATATGAAGTAGAAAATCTGTGGCGAGTTGAACTTTAATTTGAAAACATTTAGGTCTAGAAACAGGCACCAAGACACAAAATGTTGCAGTTAGGTATAAACTGTTGACTCTAATGTGAAGTCTGTAGCCGTATTACCAACTTATTGTTCCATTTACCTAACAGAGCAGTCATTCTCAGACTGCAGGTTTACTTGTGGTTCCTAGAGTTTCCAATAGTAGAATGGGAGGCAGAGCTTTCAGTTATCAGGCTCCTCTCTTGTGAAATCATCTTCCAGTTTCTGTCAGTGAGGCTCGTCTACTTTTAAGATTAGGCTAAAGTCTTCTCTTTTTGATAAATCCTATAGTTAGGGTTCGCTTGGGTTTCCTGAGCCATCCCCTAGTTATGCTGCTACAGGTTTTGACTGCTGGAACACAAACAGACCACATTTCCTCACTCTGCTGCTGTCTTTACTTGCTCTACTCTACCCGTCTGTATTTGTAATTACTTCTATCTTAACGTGTTTTTTGTCTTTCCTCCTATAGAAAGTTCACCTGGACCTGTCATTCTGCGTTTGTTTCTCCTTCCTGTCCTCTCAAACCCAGCTGGTTGAAGCAGATGGCCGCTCATCCTGAGCCTGGTTCTGCTGGAGGGTTCTTCTTGTTAAAAGGGAGTTTTTCCTTTCCACTGTTGCCTTTGTTCTTGCTCAGGATGGGAGACTGCGACAAAGTGAAGATTCAACACAACCTGCTGCTTCCTTTGATAATTTTTACCACTTGGCTTTTATAATATATGTGAATGTTTTTTTACAGAGTCCCGAGACGACTTCTGTTGTGACTTGATGTTATAGAAATGAACTGAACTTATTTTCATCTTTTTCATATATAAATTGAAAAAGACGCTTTTGAACTCGGCACCTTCAGTCTTACTGGAGCCGACTGCTTTAGATGGTGGCTGTGTGCGTTTATTAATCCTGAAGGTTCAGGTAAACTGGATGAAACGAGATGTTCATTAACTGCTGGATGTCTGAGGAGCTGCTCTGATCTACAGCACAGACAACCAGGAAGTGAAACCACAGCCGAATAACAAACATCCTGTTGATGCGACAGCTGTTACTGCTGTTAATTCAGAAACTGTGAGGCAACAGTTTATTAGGCCAACATGGTTCCCACCTGTCACTCCAGGGTCCGTTCCACTCTCTCTCCCCCCAGGGGTTCCTCATCCGGATCATGTTGAGTTTGTCTGATTTGAAGAAGGCCAACAGGCCGTGGCCGAGCCGGACTCTGCGGACGTCTGTCACGGCGTACGCATGTCCCTTCACCAGACCGCAGGTCAGTTTGGCCTCCATGTCCGCTGCAGTGAGCGCCTGGAACACGAATCGGACCAAATTTACTAAAAACAAGACGTTTCCGTCCGATGTGGGTCAGAGATCCTTCTCACCCGGATGGAGCAGCTGATGAGGCCTCCTCGGTCGTGGACTTTCAGGACTCTCTCAAACAGCTCGTTCCGTTTCTCCTCGTCATCTTTGAAGCCGTTCTCCGTCAGGTCCATTGGTTCAGAAACGCCTCCGGTGAAATTCACGAGCGCGTCGGCCGTGTTGCCCCCGTCCAGACCTTCGTAGCAGCCGCACACCCTCGAATGCACACAACGCACAATCAGACGCTTCTCCAAAAATACAGCTTTTCCACCTTCACTGTACTTAATCCTCAACGAAATGCACATCACCCGCCACTTTTATGACACCAGTTTAATTAAAAGTTAGAGAGATATTTTGCTAACAGACAAACACAGGCAGGACTGTTTGCCTTTCATCGTGGCAGAAGATAAAAGTGACCACTTTATGCTGCGTTAAAACAAAAACTGCTTTTCAAACTTTAATTCACAACAGATGATCTGAAATAAACACTGAATAAAAAGCTACATTAGTACCATTATTTATTTTATAATATTAAAAAATTAAATATTAATGTCATTCTTTTCTCTCCAATTTGACTTCATTCAAAACAAATTTTCGTTAAAACTGTCTGCTTGATCCTGAAAAATCAAACATTTGCATTAAAAATAGTTAATGGAAACAGTTTTTAAAGTGTTAAAGAATAAAGAAACACATTTATTCTACTTCTTTGAAGTTTGCTCTCAGTCTGTTGCTGAAGAATGTGTCAGTTTTATTCCCTCAAAAACTTTATTTACTGTCGTGAACCTAAAAGTGTCCACTCGGTCTTTCAGGGCGCTCGATGTTTTGCAAGAAGCACATTTTATTTGTTAAAAGTTCAAAAAGGAAATCACCACGATTGGCAAATTAAAGTTAGTTTTCCTGCTTTCGGAAGAAATTGACCAATTTCAAAAAAGACAAATTAGCTACTCGTTGTTGCTCGTGAGAAAAATAAAGAAATTAAACGATTTTCGGGAGGTAAAAGCAGCACGATCCACCACGACTGAACGTTTCACCGCTCACTTGGCGTAGGCCTTCTCCACCAAAGCGCTCCAGAACTCGTTCCTGTCGTTGGAGTGGCAGTAGACGAGCTCTCCGTTCACCGTCGGGAGCCGGTCGTCGATCACCACGTCCTCCCACTCGCCGAACCGCCAGAACCGGAAGTGGAAGATCCCGGCGTAGGACTCGGGTTTATCTTTGTCCCACTCCTGATCCTTCCAGTCTGGGATCACCTGGCAGGAAAACAGAGCAATAAAACATGACGTGCAACAGTTACGCTTTTATAATTTTAATTTATTAAATTTACCTCTGTTTGACTGTGTACGTTTGTCTGTTAGCAAAATATCTAATGAACCTTTTGAAGGAAGTTGAATGAAACTTAAACATGCAATTAGTTTTTTGTGCATTTACAAGTAATTAACTTTCTGAGTCAATACAGTTCAAGATGGCCGCCACAACTAATCAACATTAAAACACGTGAATGGTTTTAATTCAGTCCTTTGACAGATGTTGATGTGAACTTTAGCGTGGTAGTAGCCGAGGCTGATCCTCAACACATACTTTGAGCTCCAACAGCTTGTGCAGATCTTTGAAATATTTCACATTAACGTTTTGGAGTCAACTCTGTCTGTTAGCAAAATATCTCATGAACCACCGGACGAACGTCAACTAAACTTTCAGAAAGTAATCCCTGGATGATCAACTACAACTGATTAACTTAGGAAGCCAATTCAAAATGGCTGTCAGAGCCAACTGACCTTAGAAAACACAAAAATGGCTAAAATGCAGTCAGTTTTATAAATATTAAGCTAAAATTTGATGTGGAAGTAGCTGAGCCTTTAAGAACACATACTTCGAGTGTGACATCTTGCATTTGTTAACAGAACTGCTACAGCGCCACCATTTCTCGTGGAAGTCTGCGGGTGATATGCATTTCATGTCCATTACTGCGCTGGCCCTTTAAGACACAAAAAGACTTTCTGCAAAAACTGAGTTTTGAACCGATTGTGGTTGTTTTATTAATTAAAATAAATTTAAAAAATCATGAATAGATGATCAAGTTACAGGTCGAAACAGTTTAAGGCACACACGGGCCAAAAGCGGCCCTTGGACAATTTCCATCTGGCCCCACATATTTTAAATTAAACTTTGAAAAAGATCCTAAATTGAACATCTTAACACTTCTGTGTTATGACAGACCAAAAAATAAAAATAAAAAAAGCAAGCATCTAAATTGTTTTTGCATATTTTAAACTAACAAACACATCAAAGTTTACAGATGGTAAGTCTAATAACTCTAGAAGATATTGGAGACATTTTTACGAAGCCTGCCAACTATGCTAATTCACCATGCAGCATTCTGATTGCTTTATTTATTGTTATTAACCGTTATTCAACCTGGCTTGATTACTTTGTCGTCTTTAACTGAGCTTGAATTATTTTTTTTATTTTTTTTCCTTTTATATTAAGAGATCTTATTGTTCCATACTTTTCTAACAAAGCACTTCGCTCTCAGACTGCAGGTTTACTTGTGGTTCCTAGAGTTTCCAATAGTAGAATGGGAGGCGGAGCTTTCAGTTATCAGGCTCCTCTCTTGTGGAACCAACTTCCAGTTTCTGTCATTGAGGCTGACACCTAGTCTACTTTTAAGATTAGGCTCAAGTCTTTCCTTTTTGATAAATCCTATAGTTAGGGTTGGCTTGGGTTTCCTGAGCTATCCCTTAGTTATGCTGCTATAGGTTTAAGACTGCTGGAGGACAAACGGACCACACTTCTTCACTCTGCTGACGTCTTCACTTGCTCTACTCTACCCGTCTGTATTTGTAATTATTTCTATCCTGAACGTGTTTTTTGTCTTTCCTCCTATAGAAAGTTCACCTGGACCTGCCATTCTGCGTTTGTCTGGTTCTACTTTTAGTTTCTCTCAAACCCAGCCGGCCGCTCATCCTGAGCCTGGTTCTGCTGGAGGTTTCTTCCTGTTAAAAGGGAGTTTTTCCTTTCCACGGTCTCCTTTGTGCTTGCTCAGGATGGGAGACTGCGACAAAATGAAGATTCAACACAACCTGCTGCTTCCTTAGATAAATAACTGACTACTTGGCTTTTATAACGTATGTGCCCCAAGATGACTGTTGTGACTTGGTACTATACAAATATACCGAACTGAATTAAATTATTTTGGATTTGAAAATACGTTTGCCTCAACTGCGGTTTGGTCTGTTTTACTTATAACAATAAAATGATCTCAACATGTTTAACCAGACGAGCTCAGAGGTCTTTATGTCAGTTTCTACCCGACGTTTGCGCCAGTGATTTACAAAGTTTTTACCAAGGGTATGCCATTCATCCAGATCCTGTAGTAATCCCCACTGACAGCACATGTACACTGATGTAACGGAGTGACACAAACTCAATCCAAAGTGAGGTGAAGGATATAAATAAGTACGAGATCCACTGAGCCAAGACGAGCCGAGCTCCCAGAGTCCCTCAGGAAACTCCCAGCGTTCCCTCCTGTACGTCATCTGAATCCCTGTTGCCTAGCGCCCTCAAACATCACTCACCTGCTCAACACCTTTAGAAATAATAAATACAAACCTCGGAGCTTGTATCCAATTTAAAAATTGTTTCCATTGCATAATATTAGGAGCAGAGAGAAGCATTCTCCGTTACAATTTTGGAAAAATTAAGTACTTCAAATTTTGCACTTCATTTATGTACAAAATCCTCCCCGCAACACCCAGACGTTCTAATTAAAATGTATAAATGTAGCATTTCTTACAGTTCGAGTGGTTTCATGTTGATTTGTCATGTATCAGAAAAAACAACACTAACGACTCGGATGCTGTCGGAATAATTAGCTCTGCATCCGTCCCAGTGCTCCCCCCATCCTCTCATTTCAGTCAATATGTCCTAACCAAACTACCCTGTGGGAAGGAGGGGGGTGGGGGGAGGGACAAGCTGTGGGCCAAAGAGAGAAACTGGTACGCAGTGATGGAAACAGTTGGGAGGGGAAGAGGCGACATACGAGTCTATAAAAATGTAGAGAGGGTTGGAGAGGGTGAGATTTAAAAAAAATCTGCCACAGCTCCATCCATCGCTGCACCTCTCCGGCTCGCAGGCAGGCTCCCTAAAAATATAATTAAAACGAAATTAAAAAAAAAAAAAAAACAGGATTACCACCACGAAGATGGACGTGGGCAAGGAGACGACTCCGTCTGAGAAACTGGTGCTGGAATTTATCGAGGACACGGCTCTGACGGAGGTGAGCTTCACACTCTGAAATCACAACTTCTCACTTACAGAGACGAGACGGCGCCTTCGCAACAACTCCAAATTAAATACAGAACTGAACGAACGTTGTCCCCGATGATTATTGGGCACAATGGAGGATTTTCAGACGTGTCCCTAAAGTGTGATATGCTCACTGGTAGGCTAACATGCCATGAGACAATTTATCCATGCAAACATGTATTTATGTAGCTTTTACCAATAGAAGCTTGTTAGATACACGCGTTTGCATTAAATCATCTGTTTTAACGGATGCAACTGTTCTGAGAACAGTTCTTCTCAACGTTTTCATGCCGGGACCTTTTAAAGTCCAGGTCTGCTCATCAGAGCTGACGCTCAGCCTAAAACTCGTTACTCTGTGGGATCATTCAGACTAGCTAAATCCACCTGTGAGCAGCTGCAGAGGAGATGAGAGTTCAGAGTCTGTGGGCTCCAGGTCTCATCTGCTGAAGCACACAGTCAGTTTAAGGCTGGACCGATGTGGCAGACCACAGAACCAAATCGATGTGTGCGTTTGGGTCAGAGGAGCATGAGATCAATTTAAACAGTGATGATGTTGAGCTATTGATTCTGCAACACTGGAGTGCTTTTTAAAAGCACACATTGGGACACAGCCTCTTTCAGTTCCTTTGGTCAGAGTCAAAGAGAACAAGCATAGAAATTACATGTTTCAATCATTAACGTAGCGCCTCACTGGGTTGGTGCTCAAAACTGTCAGAAAAAAAAAAAAGAGCCAGACTCACTGAATTCTGGGCGTTTGCAACCAAACAACAAGTTTGGTCGCATTTTCAGAGTTTGAAGATCACGGCCATGCACATCATTTTGTTGTTGCTTAGTCTTGCTTTGTGCCCACATCCACAGCTACCCCCACATTTAGGATTTATTTGTTTGTTTTCTTTTAAATAATTACTATTAATCAATTGAGTTTTTTAGAGCTGGATATTCGAGGCTGTAGATGTCGATGTTTTCTGTCAGAGGAGACTCCTGAGCAGGATTTAAAATACAGTTCTGGTGTTCTTAAGACAAAGTGGAGACACACTGAGATGGGTCTGAGACGAGTTTGAGATGCCTGCAACACCACTATTCTTTCAATCTATTCAAAACTCAAGGTAGAAGGTTGCGCACGTCTTTGACTCGTGCAATGAAACTGAACCACCGCAAATGTTTTGAGACACTTTGGAGACTCGGTGTACGAATGCCAGCTGTCAGTCCGGTGAGACACCACCTTCTCTGTGAAATGTACCTCAGTCTCCTCCTGTGCCAGTTCACGGTTTACCTTTATAAATGTGAAGCTCGTTGCTTCTAAAACTCACAACTAAAGGACGTGCTTCATAGCACAAAATAAGTTTCAGACAGTTGACAGTGAGAGAACACAGCATAGGTCCGATTCAGTCTGAAGTTGTGGGTTCTCCTCTTCCTCTGCAGATGATGCGTCGTCGTGTGTCCTCCCTGCAGAAAACAGGACAGAAGCGTCAGGACGGCGAGCGCCTGCTCCTCCCGTATGAAGCGGTCTACCGTCTGGACTTCTCCATCCAGGAGCTGAACTTCTCCAGGTGGTACTTCTCGCTTTCGGGCCACGGCCGCGTCACCGTCACCGGTATTTCCCAGCACTGGACCCCCGACCTCACCAACCTGATGACCCGCCAGCTTCTGGAGCCCATCGGGACATTTTGGCGAAACGCCGCAGACCCGATTGACTCGCCGCTGAAATGCCTGGAGGCAGACATGCAGGAGTTCGGGGAAAGGATTGCGGAGCTGGCCAAAGTGAGGAAGGTCATGTACTTCCTGCTCGCTTTCAAAGAGGGAGCAGAGGCAGCAAACCTCAGCTGCTCGATTGAGTTCATCCCAGAGAAATGACCTTCAACTCTCAGCCAGTAGAATCCTCTTCAAAACACTAGAGAAGCATTTAAATGTTTTGTTTTCAGATTAAATATTCTCCTCACATAGACTTTGGTTCACTTCCATGTTTTAGTGCAAACGACTCAAATTTACTACAGGTCAGTTTTAAAGTCCCAAGAAATCAAAATACGCAAGTTAAAGTCCAACGTCCGCCGTTCTCTACGGTCTCTTTTTCATCGCAGCCTCTTCTGTTGGAGAAGGGTCGGACTCTGCAGCTCGGTGGCTCCATCCTCCACCTCAAACAGAAGCTGCAGCTTCATGTTCAAAAATCACCTCGTTGTTTTAACTCGAACACACTAAAAATGACTAAACTAAACAAACTACACCCCAACTATAACATTTAAACGTGCTAAATATCACAAATTACCTGCACCCACTCCCGCTGTGTCTCTATCGCCGCCGAACTTCAAATTCAGAATCTTTTCTTCTTCCCGTTTTTTTTAATAATTTTTTTAAAGCACTTAAATAACTTTGCCTCAGTTAGAAAGGAGGTGGGGGTTGTTTGTTCAGCAGGGGTGAGGGTAAAAACAGATGGGGTATGGGGGTGTTTTCTCCATTAGAGTGCACATCTTTGCAGCGACCTCCAGCCTCGAGCAGTAGAAATCCTTGCATGGTTGGGTCAGTGGCGTGACATCACGCCCCATATATAGCCCCTTTTGCACCGCTACGCTTCAGCCCGGTTCGGCTCGGTTCGGTATGGTTATGGAAGTGAAGGGGCCGTTTCCAAAGAAGCAGCTGGAACAGCTTGAAATCATCACAAAAGTTACATTTTTAAAACCAGTTTGCGTTACTTTTCAATGTTTCCACAGAACATAGGTATTTATTCGTTACGTCTCATATTTGGTTGAATATGTAATATGAAAAAATGGTGGGTGTTGGACTTAAAAATTTAAAAAAGTATTTATAAAAGAAAGATGAAATATGTACTTAAAATAAGCACAAATCTAAAACAAGACGAGCCATAGGGCAAATTATTTTTAAGTCATCTTGCTTCATGATTATACATTTCATGGTGTTACGGTTGTAAACATAGTTTATTTGAAATAAAATAAGCCAAGTCATTTCTCTAGTCACTAACTATCGTTAATTTTCAACCAATAATTTAAATAAAAGCGATAAAATTTAATAAAATGTAGTACTTTCACTGCTTATAGAATAATAAACTAGTGGCAGTGAATGAATCATTAAACTTTCAGTACAAAAAACTGCTGATATGACAAATAATCAACGTAGTGACATAAAATCAACAAACGGTCTCTGAAAGAAGTTTGTTTATTCACTGGCAGGAAACGGATTTAGAGAAGGACGATGCACAGCTTTATTCTTAAAGTTTAATTATTAGATGTCCAATTTACTTTTTTTTAACAGTTAATTTCACGCTGAAATTAAATAAAACATAAAAAGGAAACAAAAGGAATGCAAGAAAAAGGCGACAAACAGATGATTGATGAGTCGGTTTCATATAAATATATCTGTGCCGACGCGGTCGTCAAACCTCTGGTTGAAGGCGATGAAGGTTCGCTACAATCATCTTAGAAAAAAGTTTAAATTCACTTCTGCCTTTTCCTTGTAGCACAAATGAAATGGACATAATTGGCAGGAGATTAAGTCTAGAAACGATAATGACAAGAATCTCTAATCCAAGCTCAGATTAAACTCAGCGAAGGGAACGTTCGTGTCATTTCAGAGGGAATGTGTGGCCAATTGAAACTTTAAACCTTTATTTCCTGTATAAACTTTGATTACTAATTCAGACTGATCCTTCACGTGTTGTGTGATTTAAATACATGAAGCCAATAAAGTGTTCATAGAATCTCCGCCAGTCTTTGTTTCCTTCTTTGGAAATTTCATCCAGACGACATTAAATCAAAAAGCAAAGCTTTAAATGCAGCATTAGCCCCAAACATGGAGCTCCAACAGGCTTTTCTTATTTTATTTGCATTATAGTACTGCTTTAACGGGGGGGGTGTTTAAAAAACATTTTATTTATTAGTTTCATAAATTCTTATTTCTATGTGGACCCACATAAATTTAAATAAAAGGCTGGGAAAAACTCAGCTTCCTTGGCGATCATTTTTCTTTTAAGATGCAAAAAATAATATGACCACTCGAGTAAAATTAAATACTTTAAAATACACATTCAGTACTACAATAAATGCTAAAACATTAGCCTAATTTAAATCACGTTATAAGGCTTAGTTTTCTGCAGAACTTATTTTGCAAATTTAAGTAAATGCTAAATAAAGTCCTGAAATTATAAATAAAATCCAATAAGGTCAAACAAGGAAATACAAGCACTATTAAAATCTTTCTTCAAATTCAGCAAATTCACATTTTTTATTTTACTAAACTGCCACAAAATTGCCTTTTTTTTTTAAATATAAATTCCTCTGTTAGAAGTGTGGAGTAATAATGTTTTAAATTCTCGTCAGAGGTTGAATTATTTGAGAACCCGTGTTTGTTCTGAACCATTAAGGCGTTTAGACGACCGGTGGGTCCACAGAGACGCTGGCACCTGGAAAATACTCCAGTTTCCTTTCAGGTGACGGAAACCAGCGCTGCAGAGGACCTCCGAGACGAGACGGAACGAACCAAGAGTGGAAAGAACACCGAGAAGAAACACACAATCCACAAAAGGCCGGACACAGAGGCAGACCAGGACGTCACACGAGGATTATTTACACTACTGTTCCTTGACGTCCGAGAAACATCAAAACCTGAGCAATACGAACACGATTATTTAGGCCGTTTCATCTCAAGCAATAATGTTGAGACGTTACGCTCAGAGTTTGTGTTGTGAATGACTCTCAGCTACTACCACACCTTATTCTAGCTCAATATCTGTAAAACTGACAGAGTTACAACCATTTTAGTGTTGGCTAATGTTGATTAGCTGTGATAGCCAATCAAATTGGACCGACTCCTAAAACTAATGAGGCCTAGAGGGACATCCAATTATTATTTTTTTAAACTTTATTAAAGTCCAACCAGGATACATTTAGCTAACAAACAAACTGAGCAGGTGCAAGCGGTCTATGCTGAGATTCCCTCCACACACTCAAACTTAAAACATTTATTATTCTCCATCTCTCGTATGATGGACCTTTCCTCTGTGGGTCTCACTGTTAGAACGGTTCTTACAGAACTCTGGTTCTTATTTGACTTCACAGATTTTGAGATTTGGGTCTCGCCTTCTGGGCCACTACGCAATGGTGGTGAGGTTCTCTCCACCCTTTCTTCATCTCTTTGTACGTTTCAGATCATCGTCTCACGGGCTGGTCCGATACTGCACAAGATGTCACATTGTACAACCAGAATCTTCAAGGCAACTTCTGATTTCTGCCTCCACTCGGCTGTGAGGCCTCTGATACTTGAACCTCACTCTCACAACAATTCTGGAACGATCCTCCATGTCCTTCTGCAAACAACAGCATTTTGAGTTTGTGTCTTTTGTACAGAAATCCACAGAACTGACGCGCTAACGCTTTCTTCTTGACACTTGCAAATGTGGTTTTTGTACGCCTTGATCTCCACCCTAGAAGATCAGCCTTGTGCCGTGCCCCGTCTACAGACACCGGCCAAAAAAGTGCTCAGAATAATCTAGATAGCCTTCGTGGTGATCTTTGGACTTTGAATAAAAGATTCTGCTGGAAAAGTCATCCTTGGTAAACAGTGAACCTGCTAACAGGTCTGAAACACACAAAACAAAGTGTTGATTAAAGAACGAGATAAAGATGTTGGAGTGAACTAGAAGAGACCAGACCTGAACTCCATCCAGAAGCAGAAAATCGTTTAAATTGTTTCGGACGTTTCAGTGAAAATTTGGAAAACGAGTTTCAGCTAAGAGACAGGCTGTGTGTTAATTATGTTAAACCTTGATATTTAACCACGTTATTTATTTTTTAAAATGGGTTCAAAACATATTTCCTGGTTTAGCGCTGCCACCTTCTGGATGAAAGATGTTATTTTAAAGGTGAAGCAGCCTCCAGCTCAAAGAAACCAAAAGTTATTTTTAAATGAATTCACTTTGTGGGGAAATCGTTTTCATTTAAAGCAGTGCTTTAAATGAAACTAAGTTTAATTTATCCTAAACGCCCATTATCACGTTGCGCCTTCAGATTTTATGACCATTTAAGAATGAGCTGATCTGATTGTTCTTAGAGCTTACATTTGTCAAAAACAGTTTTAAAAAATGAAAAAGTTTGAGAAGAGGCAAGTTTAAATAAAAATGCAAAGACAGTCAGGAACATGCCATTCTCCTGCAAACAAAGCAGACATCACGTGTGAGGTCCAACCACATGGACGACATCATGTGACACCATACTGCAGCTAAAAACAACACTTTTCTGTTCACACGCAGGAACTGAAAAACTTCACTCTGGTCAGAGTTGATCAAAAGTTTTGTTTCCAGGGACTCGGCGTGAGAATGATAGCTGCAGCAGCTCAGAACAGTCTGCAGAAAAACCCAGCTGGATCACAAGAAAGAACAAAACATGCACAAATCTAAAACACACACACACCCACTCAACATATGTACACAAGCACACACCTACACTATCGAGACACACACACATTTACACACAAGCTCAGTATTGTCATTATTTAACTACACACTGAAAGTGCTCCTGGCCTCAGGACTCTGCGCGTATGTGTGTGCGTGCATGCGTGTACGTGCACTACACATGCAAAGCAAACAAAGCCACCCAGATACAATCCAGTAGAAACTGGAAGCTTTCTAAATAAATGTTGAAGAGGTTCAATATGCAGCTACTAGAAGAGTCAAGAGAATTAGCTGCAGGAGGCTCATCACGGTCCCCATGGTAACCACACATCTGACTCTCACTCCCTGTCTGTAAACTTACAGAGAGGCGAACAGAACGCTATCGTCACAACAAGAAACAGCAGCTGTGAAAACTACCAGTCCATCATGAACCGTGAGCAGCAGAAGACTGAAGGTCACGTGACTTTTGACGTTTCTGTTGTGTTTCTGTACAAATATGACGAGTTAAAAAGAAACTTCTGGTTTTGAGGGGAAAATTTGGCGGCGGTAGCCGAGCGCTACGTTAGCAATGCTAGGTCAAAGCCACTTCTCCTGTGGCTACAATCTCTACTCCAGTTTCGGTATGCAGGGCACTCGGTTCTGTTGACAGGGCGGGGCGCCCTCCTTCAATAATGGACGCACAAAATGAGTCGTATTTGTTTCAAAACGTTGTGGGAGAAGGAGGAGACTCTTGGCTAAACATTTAAAAGTTTTAAACAACTCGAAAGGTTAAGCGTGGAGCTGTCGGTTGAACGCTTCTTCATAAAACTTCCAAAAGTCATAAAACCTAAAGTGGTGGTGTAAAAAATTTAAATCAAGATGCCAGTTGAATCGGATACAGTCCAACTTTTTGTGAACCGTTTAAACTGTAAATAAAGTTTCTGCTGTGAGGTCTTTGGGATAATTCGTTGTCCAAATCAAACTGACTAATGTCATAGAAATGGGATTTTATGTGTACAGCACTTTGTTGCAGTTGTGGTTGTTTTAAAGGACTTTATTTATAAAGTATTATTATTGTTTTTAGTTATTATAGCACAATGTTACCATCGAGGTAACAAACAAGTCGTGCGGTTCGACGTACAATTTTTACATTTTTTGTTTTGGGGTTTTTTCTCCTTCCATACGCTGTAAGCTTTGAGGAAACTTGCTCGTACTATGGACGTTTTTCAAGTGCTGATAAATATATTTGATGTGTACGTGTCAGGGGAATTCATGTAAAGTTCATGGATGTTATCACTTACTAATGTTAAATTAATATAGAACCATGTGTGTGAAGTCAAGAGTCTTTGTCTACTCTAGGAAGAGGAGCCTGATGCTGACACCTTCAAAATGTGTAAGCTGGAAAGCAGAGGCTGCCTTGACCTCTCTCTGTTTGATAAGCATTATAAATATAAGCCTTCTTTATTCCGTCTGTGGGAAGAACTTATGACCGGAGCTTCACGTAACATCTGTGTAAGAAGGTTTTCAGTTCTGAGCCCCTTGCAAGTAAAACTGGGTTGAGAAGATCTTGTTGCATCCTCCGAGTGTCTTATTTGATTAATGAGGCGATGTAAAGGTAATTAATTCATCCAACAGTACGTACATTTTCCTTTTCATAATCTTACCTTTTGCCACAGTGCTTCTCTGGACGCCAGGCTGGAACAAGCGGCCACAAACCAGCAGTTTCCCAGCTGGCCTTGATGCAAGTCGTGGGCACTGATGCCATCCACGAACAGATGGGGGTCGCTGCTCAACTCCTGCAGGAAACAAGTTAAATTCATTAAGTGCTGGAGTCACTTCTCTGACCTAGAAAATTAATAATCATGAGACAATACTTCAAACTAATTTAAAGTTAGTGTTGAATCATTCAACAGAATCACTGAGCGATAGAGTAATCAGAATCTCTTGGTCATATTTAAATATTCTCTTTCGTGGAGATGTTTAATTTCTGCTGGGTCCAACAGGTGGAAGTGCTGCTGCCAGGTGTGGATGAATAAGAATCAGGGTGTTACCCAGCATGTTCGGTCTACCATAAGAAGACAAGTACAGAGTAAATCCACCATCCAATTTAAAAAAAAGTTGCTCAACTTAAAGCAAAGCAAACAGCAGAACAACAAAGACAGAGGATCTGGACAGAAACCAAACGACAGAGCTGGGTTAACCCGGCGACGCACGCCCAGAAAACCACCAACTGTGTGGAAACGCATCGACTCGTCTTACACAACCGTCTTATATCATGTGAGGATTAAAAACAAGATACAACATTTAAGTTGGCGAACAGCAGATGTCGAGGCAGGTGGTTTGTTTGTTCTTTGGGCTGCTCCTGCTCAAACTAAAGCTCGATCCAACTTTCCACAGACAAGCAAATATTCACCATAAAGTCTTCAGACTCCCGATGCTGGAACAATCAAACGGTACAAAATAAAGGCACCTTGCTCTGTGCACGCTCCCCTAATTACAAGGCAGCCCTTTAAAGTGCATAAAAGATCCATGGACACATTGAATGGGTTAAATTTGCACGCGTTTTATCACACACACACAAAAAAAGAAGAGGTCAGGGTAAAAAATAAAAATGAAAAATAAGAATTAGCAGGTTTTTATTGACTCCCTGGTTATTTAAACCAGATCCATTGTCTCCACTGAGGAAGCTCCACTCTCAGACTGAAAGTTGAATTATAATTACTAGAAAGCCAACATGGTTCCTCAAGTTTCCAAAAACAGAATGAATGTTTCAGCTACTGAGCACCTGTCGGGTAATCTTGAGCCATCCCTTTAGTTTTCTACTTATCTTGAAGGTGGTCACTTCTTCTCAAACTGTTGATCTTAATGTACAGTTCTCATAAACAGAACTTGTGGTACATGTGGGGATTGCTAGGTCTTCCTGGCCTGGTGCGTTTGGGTTTGGTTGAGCAACTTCCTGTCATAACAAGTTGAGGCAGACAGCTGTGCTTTCCAACTCTGGTTTATCTGGTTATCTCTTCCTGCTGAAAGCGACGTCCCCTCTGCACTACTGCAGAACACGCTCACGACATAAACACTGAAGTTTATTGGAATCCACTGGTCTCAACAAGACCTGCCTTTTTTTATTTTTTTTTTAATTGGCATTTTACAACTTTATCCACCTGAACTGGTTCAATATTAAAATGAACAATAAACAACGCTTTTGCCGTTTAACTCCTCCCTATAGGTGACAAAAACTATCCAAACTGGACTGTCAAGCAACTGGATTTTAAAAAAATGAGCCAAGTTGAAAATCTTACACTCATGCAGATGAATTATGTCGTTATGGAGAGATTTAGTGACAAATGCTTGAGGTACTGAGAGTAAGGAGATTATAAATCCATCCTCCAAACTGTAAAACTTCTGGGTTTCTCTGCTCTTAGAATGGAAAAAAAAAAAAAAAGCTTAACATTCAGAAATGCCGTCACATTTTTATTTATTTTCATTTTTTGTCAAGAATGCTCGAAAGTGTTTTCACTTGTTTTTGCTCAGGATAAATACAACTAGTCTTCCTAAAGAAATGCATATCGCCCGCTGCAGTGCATGCCCAAGTTTGAAATAAGAACTCATGATCCAGTAGAACTTGGAGTACGAGTTCAGGATGACTCTCAGCTACTACCACACCAAATTTACCTCAATATAAAAGGTAAAACTGACCAAGTTGACGCCCTTTTTGTGTTTGCTAAAAGGTGACAAGCTGTGGTGGCCATCTTAAATGAAGTTGACTCAAAATGATTCAGTTGTAGATGCACGTGCAACAACTACTTTAAGGGTTTCATTAAAATAAGTTCACTGGTTCATGAAATATTTGCTACAGGTCAAATGTGAGCAAGCAAAGAAGCTGTTACATGATCGCCAGCCTTCCATGGCAGCTGGCAGTAACAGAACTATAAAAAATAATTTACAAATTACAGCGATCATAAAGATTTCTAAAGCAGCAGAAATTTAACGCAGGTTTATCATTTTTGCTTCATCTTTTCTACGGAGACTAAAGCGGAGAAGGTTTGAACTAATCTGAATAAATCAACGGTCCATAACTCCGATAAGACTTTTATTTTTAACTCTTGTTTAATTGGAGGTTTTGTTCAGTAAACATGTAGAGGTTTCACTGGGTAATGCAGAAATGTTTCACCTGCTTTACTCTAAAAAAGATCAATATTATCGATTTCCTCGTGAGCTTTAAGTTTCCCGTTTAATTATTTATCTGCTCTTTATTAATGATTGACCATAAACGCACGTAAGACATTTGGGTTTGGACCTGCGGAGGGTGATTTTATGCTTTTAAAGATCAGAAATTAGACAATGTTGAAGACTTCTTATCAAAATAGTTTCAATTTGTTTTAAAAAATAAGAAAGAAAACGGCAAAGCTCAAAAGAATAAAACCAGTAAAGAGAACTGAGTGATCGTTAAGGTTCCTTCAGCAGAACAAACCTTTTCTGCTGAGACTGAGAGAAAACCTCTACAGTAAAACAGCTCCTGGCAGGCTCCGTTATCTTTTCAACGAGTGTTTTTATTACAAGGCAGTGTAAACCTCAGTAGCAGTCGGATGAAAATCTATTAAGCACCAACTCCATTACGAGGATGTCATTCCTGCACCAGTAAACATCTGCAGGAGTTAAAAGCTCCTGAAAACAAGGAGCTCAGTGAAACGCAGCAGACCTAAAATTTCTGAGGCAAATTTAGTTTAAACGTTTCGTGTTTAGTTCTGGCAGCAGACATGTGATTATACGAATCATCTACCGTTTAAAAATAAACAAACATCAAAACAGTCTCTTTTTGAATAACTCGTAAAATAACTCAAACATGAAACTAATTTTTGTTCTCAGATTAGAGCCATGTATTTACGTTTATTGGTTTTGATTTTCATGCGAGTTTGAGATTAGTTTCATGTTTACCTTCCCTGGAACAATGGATGGAAATCAGTCAGTGGCTAAATCTGATCTTTTCTCCGAGAATGTTCATGTGCACGGTTCTCGACGAATACACAAAACATGAATATTTAGATAACGTGTGTCCCAAAAAAACCTGAGCTCTGCTTTTAAGTAAATTGTTTACTTTTAACAAAAAGTCAAACTGTAAACGAATGTCCCCGTCACCGAGGGACTTGAACAGTAAATGTTTATAGTTTTTAAGTGTTTTTTTTTTTTTTTTTTTTACTGAAATTGAACAGGGAATTCCTAAAAAAAAGTAAAATATTTTTGATGCAAGACATTCAAATGGCTAGGAGTTACACTGTGGAGAAGAACAGAGGGAGGCATTTTTGTTTTTTAGGGTTTTATTGTTTGTTAGTTGTTTTTTGCTCGTGTGAGGCAGCGCAGAGTGACAGATCCTGGCGAGCGGAGGGAGTCGTTTTATCCACCACCAGGTACAGTGGAGGAGCCAGTGATCACCCCAATCATCTGAGGAAATAAACTTTTAAGCAATATAAAAACTACACAGGATGGTTTCCTCAAATGATTGGGATGACCATCTTGGATTTGGGCGTGGCAGCCCAGTTCTTGATAGTGGCATTTCCTACATCTAGATGCAGTCACGCACAAAACTGGAAGTTGGTACCTCACGGTATTCTGCTCACACGGTCAGACGGATGGAGGGCATTTCCAATTCTCCCTCTTCACTCCATATTGTATCTCCATATCTCGGTTTTTCTTTCCCAGTATGGTCTCTCGTTGCCAACTTGTATAAAGTATGAAAATATATACAAATGAACGACTGCAGGCTTGAAAGTATCTTCCAACGTGGTTTGAAAAACTCTTCCAATTCAACGGTTTCTCTTTGAAGGGAAACCGACTGAACAAACTTCTGCTCAGAGGAGGTCGTGCTGGACCGCTCCGAGAGTTTTACTGAGATATTTGAGGAAAAATTACTGGAATTTAAGAGCGGCCAGGAACAGAACTATTGCCTCTTCTTTTTAGGATCCTTTCAAAACTCTGTTCATTTATTAATAATGCTTTAGTAGATCAAGCTCTGCAGTACAGCCTCAGAGAAGTCAAAACACACACCATCAAACAAATACCAAAACAAAGTGTTATGCAGTTATGGTTCAGAGGAGATCAGAGAAATTCCTGAAGTTCCTTTCTCTGTTCAGTCCTTTCAACGTCTCTGTTTGTATTCAGGCTTGTCTCAGGACGTCCCCCATCAACTACAGTTTCAGTTCACTGCTTGTGCTTTAAAAGTTCAGCCTGTATCTCTTGTCATTTCCAACAACACTCCTCGCAAAACCATTTTTTTTATTTGCAAAATGCTCGATTAACATGATAAACACTGAGCCCCCAGGTTGTGTTTTATCACAGAAACACGTGGCTAAACAAATATTCTTCTTCTTACCTTGGGTCTCTTCCAGGTGACTCGGCCAATTTGATTATTCTGGTAGAACAGAGACTGGTCCGACGCCGGGAACAGAGGGTCTTCAAACAGGCTTCCATTCTGTTGGCAGCTCCTCTTCAGAGCAGAGAAGGACTGGCCTTCGTACGGGACCACCATCCCCCCTCCTGCACACAGAGACGCTCGAGGTTTGTCTTGAGGCATCCACAATACATTTGTGACACTTATCAAATGATGCTTTCTGTGGAAGTCATTACCAATACATCAAACTTCAGATCGAATTAGTCTCACCCTGAATGTTTCAAATGTGGAGGATCACTTATTATTCTGGTAAATTACATTTAACAAAAATGTGCATGCCAGTTCAGACAACGTAAGCATTTTAGGACATGAATGTAAAAATAAAGCCCGCACAAACTCTGTGAATGAAAAGGAATAATTCAGGAATGATGAAGAGGACACTGCGAGTGTTCAATTTCTGAAACCTTTTAAACCTCAGGGTCACAAACTGCAGGTTCTGCTTCAAGTCCACATGAAGCCAGGATAAGAATAAATAACAGAGATAAGCTCTGTAAAAACATTTTAAGACCATTAAAACTTGTACAAACCTTTACCACACACACTCGCACAAGAAACAAATTGACAGGATTATAAAAAGTCCCCGTTCGCCACATGACAGGATGACAAACAGAAACTTCATGTTTGACCGCAGATCTCCAGCAGAGTAAACACGTGATGAAACTGGTCTGTGGGGGGGTTCGGCAACACAGTCATGGTTGTGACGGTACAGTCTTTAAAGAAGCTCCCTCTCACAAGAAACACAGTGTGTGCAAATATGCACGTTAATTTTTATTTTATTTATTTAATGTGCAGCAACATTCAGAGGACTCTTATTTATGGGATGAATTAATCATTTACAAAACACTAAAGTGACAAATTATTCTAATTTAATTATTTGTAAAAGATATAACTTGATGTGTGACACGCAAAAAGCGGACTAGAGAATGTGCCAAGACTTAAATAATAAATTAGGGTTAAACGTAGCAAGCATCGAAACCCATCTTAAGGGATTTAGAGCTGTAGACTGAGAAAAAGGCTTTACTGAAACTTGTCAGCATCATGCTCTTATCCGTCTTTTCCATACCTTAATCTTGTAGCTAAAAGTAGCTTAAAGTTTGTTTCAAAACTTAAAAAATAAAAATTATCTCGTATAAAACTGGCAAAATAGTCACAGAGAGAGAGTTACGTTCTGGGAGTTTTGCGACACCGTTTGAAACTTTAGACGTATAATATTGAAGTGGGAAACGATTAAAAGGGTCAAGTTGTTTTTAAACACTTGACCCTGAAAAGAGCAGACTGTTCCGAGATTAAAAAACAACAAATTAAACTCGTACAATTCCTTAAATGAATGAGTATGGGTGATAGTTTACAACGGCAATATTCATAAATGCTAGAAAAAAAGCAGCTGATCAGGCACGACAAAGGCTGATTTCAAGCGTGCACGACACATTAGTAAGTGTGAAACGGTCGATGTGGACCTGAGCCCGACCCACCAAAGGCTCTGGTATTTCAAGAACTGCAAGCTTTCTGGAACCAAATTGTTATGTGAACTTTAAATTAAGAAATGACCCGAGTTGTAGCCACGTCGGTGAAACCTTGAAAACGAGCGGTACGCCGATGTCCCGCCACTGAAGGATTTGAATCTTGAAAGTTCGTAGTTTCTGTGATGAGTGTTTTTTCTGGACTGAAATGAAAAGGAAATTCAAGTCTATCATGCAAGACATTCAAGTGGGTAGGAGTTACCGTACACTGTGTACAAGAACAGAGGGAGTTTTATATTTTCTTGTCTGAGGCGGTGTGACGGATCCTGGCGAGTGGAGGTGCAGGGGTGGAGCCAGGGGGTGGCAAATAGGGGATTTGGCCATCATAGATGAATCTTTGGTCACCCCCAATCATTTGAGGAAACTATATTTTTAAGCAATATAAAAACTAGAAAGCAAAATTTCTTAAAATAATAGGGGTGGTCTGTTTAAATATAAATATATATATGGTGGTGGCCATCTTGGATTTTGACATGGCAACCCAGTTCAAAAAGAACCTCTTTCTGCCTAGATGCAGCCACAAACCCAAATGGAAGTCAGTTCCTCTCCTATTTTTCCAAGTTATTGTGCTCACAGCATTCCCAAATGGAGAGCATTACCAGTTCCTTCTTTTTGCTCTGCAACGGGGCGGGGAACAATAACGCTACACGTGGCGATGCATTAGTGCTCAAGAGTACATGTTGGGAATGACTCTCAGGTACAACCACACCAGATTATAGCTCAACATCTGTAAAAATGACAGAGTAAAATCCATTTTTGTGTTGGCTAAGGTTGATGCAGTGGCCATCTTGAAATCCGATCCACTCCAAGTTTGTCAGATGTAGATTTATGTCAAAGGTTACAGTCATAGTTTCAATAAAGTCTATCCAGCAGTTCAGGAGATATTTTGCTAACAGACTCTGATCATCAGATTTTTAACAAACAGAGGGAGAACGCAGGGCCCACTGAAGTCTGTTTGTCTTTTACCATCAGCAACAAACAGATATTTGATAATGGCTCAACCAGCAGAAAAACACCAGCCGATCCTGGGTGTGGTGTCATGACACCACAGATGTGTGTGACGGCTAAACAACAACCCACATGATGCCATTTCACATGCCGGTATTTTAATAATCTGTGGGTAAAATGAAAAATAACCCAAACTGTTCCCAGCAAAGTCCATGCTCAATAATCCAGGTATACAATCCAACAATTTTTAGTCTGTTCCCCTTTTCCACTTTGTTGAAATATTCTTGTAGTTCTATCTTATCTTATCTTGAACTCTGCAGATGCAATTTATGACTAACAAAATCAGAAATAAATAAGTCTTCAATTAATAAACACAATCCTTGCATTTATTATAAAAGCTTTCAAAAAATACTTTTGTTCAGTGTTATTTAGCACTATTGCCAAGTTTTGCAAAAATAAAGTGATGTTTAAATAAAAGCTATTTATATCGCAACTATTGGGAGATGTGCGGATGAGGATATTTAATATTTGCAGACACGAGACAATTCTTATTCAAATATAACAAATACAACAATTTAATAGAAAAAAGACTAATAAAAATCTGGTTTAACGTTTGTTTGCTAGATTAGCGTTAGCTTGATTTGGTGGGGTCGAGATGGTGTTGGGGCAGCGTGTTCGATCCCTGGTCATTGCACATCTTGTGGCGTCTCTGAGCAGGACACCTTATCCCCAGTTGCTCCCCAGGCGCTTTCCATAGCTGCCCACTGCTCCACCCGGTGGTTGATGGGTTAAATGCAGAGAGAAATTGTCGCCATTATATGGGAACATACAATGCTGTCAATACATAACACATTATTATTATTAACTTAATGAAATCTGGACTCAGTGGCGTCTCCAGAGCCACTGAACATCCTGGGGTGGCACCAAGAACCATAAAATAACTTCTGAAACTCTATTCTGCTGTTTGTTGTAAAATGGAGATTTGAAAACTTTGGCAAAATGAGAGAAATGTTAAAGATGTAGCTCCGGTTCTTATTTTAAAAGTAAAATTACTGACTATGTAATGAGCTGAGAGCATGCTCTAAGAAAAAAAATGCATTTATACTTTTATATGCATTTATACTAATCAAAATGCATTTGGATTAGTGGACAATTTAGAAAGGACTTTTTAATGAAAATTCAACCGTTATTTCAACAAATGTACCAGAATTATTTTAAAATCTTTCTGGTTCATGCTAAGAACCAGAACACCGCCTTTTTTTTTTTTTTTTTTTACTGAATTACATACTTTCTCATAGTTACGAGTTGTACTTAAATGAACCGTGAAGTCGCGACAGTTCGGAACCGTAAAGAACGGAGTAGAAGCGCAGCCATTTTTCAGGAACTCGCGCGAACGGCCGCGGTGAAATCTAGAAGTCGAGCTAGCTTAAACTTTTCAAACTTTACCTTTTCTTTACGCTCCTCGGATGCCTCCCACTGTTGCTCTCTTCTCACGGAGGGACTTTCGGCGCTTTTTCTCGGGAGTCCGCTCGGTGATGGACGTTTTCAGATGGAGTTGACAACTTTACGACCCCTGAAGAGAACACATCCGTCCAGGAGGAGCTCCGCCGCAGCTCTGATGCTGAACAGCGCGAGCCCGCCTTCACGAGACTGAATTTACTGGTGATGCATTTACGTTCTGCACGGATAAACTGTAACCACTTAACTTCAACGCCATTTAACCAAAACAACTACGCTTTAAATCGATTTTACAGTTGGAAAAACATCAGTATATATATTTAAAAATCTCTCCAAAAGAAATTTAGGCGTAACAGTGTTATTATTTGGATGTTTTTGGTCATGTAAAGACATAAACTGATTCAATAACAACACTGTGAATTTTCTACGAAGCCGCAGTGAAGGTCACAATAATTAATGCCCAAAAATTGTTCGTAACATTAAATTAATAGGTTTTTAATTATGTGGTAGCAACATTTTAACATTTTAATCTTATGTGTTCAGTCTAATGCATTGGTGGAAATTTAAATAAGTTTTTAAACAAATACTGTGCATAATTGTGAGCAAAAATAACATAAGATTTTTAAACAATTAATAAATCACTTTGATACTTTATGTCAGTGGTTTCTAAAGCTGAGGTTTGTACACCACTATGGGTCATGAAACATCGAGTTTAGGGTCTTGATATGGTTTCCAAAATTTCTCCAAGTTATTTTTTTCCCATAGTTGTTACAAACGAGGGTGGGAAGTGCAGTAAATTAAAAAATAGTCTGCTGATTGTTGCTATTATGCATAATAGCAAAGTTTGTTGTGTCAAAACATTTGGCATTGCAAGTTTCTACATTTGTTGTTTTGTGGGTCAGAAACTGAAAAATTTGGGAACCATTCATGTGCTCCAAAGTCTGCATTTATTTCACTGACTTACAAAACAGTGGAGTTGTTCTATGAGTTTACTTTACAAAAACTGAAAACTGAGAAGAAAAAACAAGACTTGGTGGTAATTTGTTCTCTTACAATGTAAAACCTTATATCCATCCATCCATCTATCCATCCATTATCTTTTACCCGCTTCTTCCTCAAACTAAACAACATTTAACAAATGACTTTGAACAAATTGTAACATCAACTTAAAAATGAAAATCATTCTCATTAAACCAGCAGGTAAATAAATGTAGACAATCAAGTAATCCTTTGAGCATTTTTAATTTAAAAAAAAAAGTTCTTAAAGATGTAAAGCGTCTTTAGAGATTATTGAATTACCTCCTGACCTCTGGTGGAGTGCTGCAGTGATTACAAGGATAATAAGGAGGTGGAGATGCTGTCATCCAAAACGTCCCGCAGCAACAAAGTGGACTTCTTCTGATGATTAAAGAAAACAGTTAACATCTTCAGTACATCTGAATCTTTTTATACTTACAGATGGCACTAAACTTTGAGTCATTAAAAGTAGGAGATCCACCAGAACTAGACTTAAATCTTGGGTCTAAACAACTCATGGTCTTGTATGTTTGACTCAAAGGCCTTTCAGTAAAAATAAAACTATACAACTTTAAAACAAATTGTGTAACAATAAGCCCGTAACAGCGTGTACCACCGGCAGACTGAGGAATATCAATGCATGCTACCCGTGGCTACAGAGAACTGGACTGAAGGACAGAACAGAGGCACTAATCCTGGCAACACAAGACCAACAGAGACCGGGATCAGACCCAAGATGCAGGCTGTGCAAAGATGTCCCTGAGACAGTCCAACACATAATAGCAGGGTGTAAGATCCAGACAGGCAAAGCATACATGGAGCACCATAACCAATAATATACAGGAACATCTGGAATAATTTACAGGAACATCTGTGCTGATTATGGACTGGAGGTCCCACAGTCAAAGTGGGAGGTGCCACGAAGGGCGGTGGAAAGCGGAGGGGCTAAGATACTGTGGGACTTCCAGATCCAGACCGACAAACAGGTGATGGTTAACCAACCAGACACTGTGATGGTCAACAAGCAGAAGAAGCAGATGATCATCAGGAAGAAGGAGCAACTGGAGAAATACCAAGGGCTGAAAGAGGAAATACACAAGTTGTGGAGAGTCAAGACAGTAGTCCCAGCGGTGATTGGGGCTCTTGGTGCTGTGACCCCATACTGGAAGAGTGGCTCCAACAGATCCCAGTAACAACCTCACAGATCTCTGCCCAGAAGAGTGCAGTAGGAACAAATACAATACTGACCAGAACCTTCAGAACCCAGGTCCCTGGTAGAGGACCTGACCGTTTTTGTTTCCATAATAAATGTTTACAGTAAAAATGGTGGAATTTAAGGTAAAATGCTGCAGGTCTGACTTTTAAAATGACGATGACGCTTGAAGAGAAATGCGGCCAAGGTCTTCACCTTTCCTCCAGGGAACAACAAACATCCTCAGTTGTGTTTAAACCGAGGAGAAGGCACGAGCAGAATCTGTTGACGGTTTTATACTCCTCTTTTTATTATTAAGTGTAAAACTGTCAGCTGACACAAACCGTCCCACTCCTGCCATTAATCTTTAGCGTCCTTGGAGAAGACATCCCTGCAGTCATGTGAGAAGCTGCACTTTACTCTTCGCTGAAGGAGAAACAAACCAAACCAGCTCATGAGGATCAAATACAGACATGGATAAAACAAGGTAAAAACAAGAAGCTGGACATGGACCGGAACAGGTAATTCTTATTATTTACACTATACGGAGTTTGACCCAAACTTGAAGCTGTTTTTGAGCTCAGCTGAAAAAAAAAACTGAAATCTTTTCTGTGAGTAACTTTTAAAGATATTACAGCTGATAAACAAAACACACTTTAACATCTTTTTGAGTTTTGATGAATATCTGAAGAATTTAAGGTGCTCGTTCCATCTCTAAAAGCTATTTTTACTCATCTCAAACCTTTTTTTTTAGTTCTGTTGTTACCATCGAGGATGACATTAATGATAGAACGTGTTATTTAATTCCTGTGTTGATCATTTTAACAGAACCATTTTGTTTTGTTTGTAACTTTAGCCCTGTTGTGTTCACAGGTTTGAATCATTCACTCGAGCCATAAAAATGCAGCTGACTTTTGCTTCATCCACAGGTTTAAAACGTTAACGAGGTGCTTAACTTTCATGGCTTTTCTGGCCGGCTCAGCAAATCTGAGCAGCATTGGCTCAGGTGGGAGGGCCGTGACTGTAGCTCCCACCTGTAGGGTCAAAGGTCAACCAGAGGTGGAGCTGGTTTTAAACTGTGGGGATGGAAAATATGACGGTACGGCTTGATGTTTTTTTTTACTCAGATTGTCTTATTTTATTAAAAAAAACAACAGGAAACACTGAAAACCTGTCAATGTTTGACTTTCTGTAAAGGTGTTTGTCAGATTCTGACTTTTATAACAAATGTCAACATGAACTGATCATAAACTCATTAAAATTAGCTA